AAAGAATAAATATAGAGTTCAGAGAGGAAAAAATGAGCAAGGGAGAAATTGTCATGAGTTAGAACAACTTTTAGTAGTATGATACTGAAGTACAACATGGTCTTATGCTTTCAAATCAGCAGCGCCATCTGTTGATTAATTGCGCAAGTACTTTTGAGATTTAGTGAAAGAATAATTTGTTTCCTAAGCAAAATGCAACAAACCCTACATTACAGTGCCTTTCATTTTTTCTTCAAATCATTTTTGGAACAACCAGAATAATTATTTGTTTTTAAAGGGAAAAAAAATTCTTAAATAAAAAAAAATTCACTGGAAAACAAAAGCAATTCAGATAACACTAACAAAAATGCAAGAAAGAACATGAAATACATGCCAAGTCAATTACCAATCAACATAATATAAGCTCAGTCTCTACCAATATAAAATTTATCAGTGTTGGGGAGAAAATCAAACAGGCAGGTGTGATGTTCTAGAAAATGTACAGTTTTTTTGAAGGCAAAATTGCAAGATTTTTATGAACTAGCTTGCTCTAGTATTAAAATTTAAAGCAAAATCACATACACACAACAACTGATCATGCATATAAAAATGAAATCCAAGGAATGCAATGCTGATTTTTATTTTTAAGTGATCACTTAATTCTCCTCCATCATTGCAATTCACTTTTGTTGCACATTTAAGAAACATTTTAAAATCTTTAGTGCTCACATCTTTTTTTTAATATTAATAAGCAACATTTTCTAATTTTCAATCATGTCAGTCACAGCTGCTTTAACATTTATTATTACAATCACACTAGACAACAAAGTTTACGACGTAGGAGTTCACAAGATACAAAATTTTGAGGAGCAATCAAGTTTGAACTAAGGTAATTTGAAAAATTTAAGACCACTCTAAGAATTATATCCATTTAAATTCACCTATATTATTAACATTTTATCCCATTAAATTACGTAGAAACTTCTAGATACTGACTCTGAGTTTGTATTTAACAGTACTATAAATCTTAATAATTTAAAACATGCTGGAGAATTATCAGTAAAATGTTAGAAGACATTTTCAAATTTTCATTATTCCAATTTTGCCCTTGACTTACAAAAGAATGAAATACTGAATAGAGAAAATATTTTAAGAACCAGAATATTAAATCAATTTGAGGGGTAAGAACATGCAAAAGAATGAACTACTGAATGGAGGAACTATTTGAAGTACCAAAGTAAAAAGAATGAATCAATTTTATGTGAAAGAAGTGTACAAAAGAGAGAACTGAATGGAGGAAATATTTGAAGCACCAAAATAAAATGAGTGAATCAATTTGAGGTGCAATAACATGCAAAAGAAGAAACTACTGAATGTCGGGAAATATTTTGAAGTACAAGAGTAAAGAGAATGAATCAATTTGAGGTGCAAGAATGTAAGGAATAAAAAACTAAATGGAGGAAATATTTGAAGAACCAGAATGAAAAGACTAAATAAATTTGAGGTGCAAGAACATGCAAAAGAATGAACTACTGAATGGAGGAAATAGCACCAAAACAAAAAAGAATGAATCAATTTGAGTTACAAAAACAAATTAAATACTATAATGAAGGTGCAAGAAAACAATCTGAGATAATTTGACATTAAAATGAATACAGAAGAAAATGCAATTTCATTTTAATATCCTGAAAGAATTAAGGACATACAACATTTGGAATGCTTAAAAACATTAACCTGAGATTGAGAAGGAGCTATTAGAGTTACATGGAAGTTACTTACGTCACACATAATTATGCTACTAAATAGTCATTTTTAGATGAATTAGTAGTGGGATAAATAAATAAAAATAGAATTCTCATTTAAGGATAATGAAGTGATATTTTTCTAAATGCTTTAAGTATACCAGAAAAACAAAAACAAAGTATGAGGGAAACATAACAGTTATTTTAAAATATAACCAATTTAATGTTGTGCCTCTAGAAAATGAATCAAAAATGTTCCATGCAAAAGTTCCATACGTAAATTATAGACTAAAAATCACGAAACCACAAGTAGTAGGCACTAATACCAATTTGATTGGACCAAGTCCACTCCTAATGATTTCGGTCCAGTTAAAAAATCAAGAACACCAGTCATAGTACTTTTGTACTAATCCATAATCCATTCCGAACTCTGTATCAGGTAAAGGGGACATACTCAATTCTAAATATTTCAAAAACTCATTTCTTTCACCTATTTCATTCACAATGCATGTTTAAAGACAAGTTTATTATTTTAATTTTTATTTTAATTTAATTACTTAAACTCTTCAAACTAGTTTTTTCTCAAAATTTTTTTACTATATTAATTCCTCAATTAAGAAAATATTATTTATTTATTTATTAAATAATTTGCTCACTGCTTAAAAATAAACACTTGATAATGCCTTGCCAATTTGATTCTTTTATTCCAGTTAAAAAAAAAATAATGAAATAGGGAACTAGGTATGATAATTCTTTTATTTCATATTTTCAGATCATTTATATCAGAAGAGATAAGCTTGTGGGTGATTTCACAATAAGTTTTTTTTTTTTTTTTTTTTTTTTTTTTNAAAATTTTTTTTTTTTTTTCTTTTTTTTTTTTTTTTTTTTTTGATAAAAATTGAAATTGAACAAAATAAAAGAAACAATTATTTCTCAAAATAAAATGTTTCAAAGATTCTGTATTGTTAGACATAAATAATTAAGTCCTTTATAAATGATTTATGGATAATTATAAAAACAAAACATTAGATATAAATAAAATCAACAATTATAAAACTATTAACAAGTTTTCTGGATCTAATAACAGCATAGAAGCTTTTATAAGATTGATTGTGAGTAGGAAAAAATGGCAAAAGACATTTAAGTTAGAAGAAGCTAAAATAAATAAGTATTATTAATGGAAATTTGTATAAGAAATACAATGAAAAGCTTAAAACACTGAAACTTTAAACTGTCCCAAGTAATGCATACAAAAAATTATGCTAAAATCAAATTCTTTAATGAATATGTCCCCCTTGACCAATTTATGTCGAAATCTTTCAAAGCTCAAAAACAAAAGAAATAAATAAACTATGAACAATATTTATTTCCCTAAATAAATCCCTATGCTTACGAAAGAAGCCTCAACACAAAAATAAAAAACAAATATCAATATTTGCAAGTCAAGGACAATGTGTTAATAGATAAACTATAACCATCAATAGGCTAGGATACAATTAAAAAAAACTAGACCACATGACTAAAGCAAATAGCAAAAATTTAATTTTAAAATGTGCAATAGTTCATAGATTTATAAAATAGAGTCGTTGAAGAGCATTTTTAAGAGTTTAAACAAAGCGTCCCATTAAATTTGTGAAAGGAAAAAATGGGGAAAAAATATACACAATAATTTGGTACACATGCAGCGTTTTTATGACAAACGATGAATCAAAACTAATATAAACAATGGGATATAGGATAGCAGTAAGAAAAGGTTATTTTTTTAATTTTATTAAAATATTTTCAGAGAATAGTCTTTACTGTTTATTAATATTTTGAAGAAAAAAATTCATCATTATTTTAAGATTATTGATGATAATTCATTAATAAATGTAAGTTCATTAATAAATATATATGCTTACAGTTTTAATTAATAATTTTTTTAAAAGATTTACCTGTTAGGAAAAATTAGCTTATTTATGTCAGATTTAGTTTAGCTCTATTGAATGACTTAATACAAATATTTAAGAATGTATATAAACAGTAAAGCAACATTTATATGCTTTCCAAAATGATGTGTTAAAGAAACATAATTAATAATTCATAATCTTCTATAAAATATTTTTGATGCAGATTCTAAGTCTCACGTTAATCAAATCTAATTTAACAATCAAACATATTATTGCTTGAAATGTAAGCGAATAAGTTTGCATGCTACTTTTCACTCAACAAACCTATCATCAGAGAAACAAAGGAAGAGAAACAAATTTAGTTAATTCCATAAATTCAATTTAATTCCCAAGAATTTACATTTCAGTTTTTACAAATTCAATTAAATTCTAGAGTTAAATGAAAAAAAATTCTGGTCTAATGCTCACAGTATTAAAAACACATAAATTAGATAAGCTTTTGAATATATTTGTTAATGATAGAAAATCTGTGTGATAAATCCTTTTAAGAATTAACTATATTATAACAAAAAAAGATACTTTTAATATTATATTTACCTAACAATTCTTTTCTTGATGAACATCAGAGAAAAACTGGGATATTGTGCGTCAAGGCTGAGTTGGGGACCGATAGCTAAAAAGTCAACTAAAGATCTTCAATAATTGTCAAACAAAACTGAGCAATATAACCTTTAAACCAATATATTTTAAACAAACATGTCAGAATTATACTGGTGTCATAAAGTGAAGAGGGAGACAATAAAATAAATGTTAAAACATGCGTTCGCCTTACCAATATTATTTTTTTTGGGGGGGGGGGAATCTTTACTTTCATTGCATTTTCCCTACTCAAAATATCATAAAGATAGAAAACTTAAGTTATCCGACTTGGTTCGAGACAATTTTTTTTAAAACCTTAATTAAAATTTTAATTTTATTTTTTGTAAGTAGCGATCCTAAAACCATAAATCTACAGTAAAGTTTAAAAATTTAGAAAATATTTTTTGAATATAGGAAGAAAATTGATCATAAAAACTTGTGAAATATTTGCGAATTTTAGTGAAATATCTAACAGTTCTAAAACATAGCTGTAGAAATAATTTTTTTCTTGATCAACAATATGGTTGCTTGCATTTTGAAATTCATTATACAATGAAATAGAACTAAATACATTGTTAATTATTGATGTTTTAATATAAAAATTCTAAACATTCTTACTTAAAGCATTATAAATTTAATAAATTTGTACTTAGAGCTCAGCTTTTAGTTCAAAACATAGCTAACAGTATACAAAATTTACATATGAAGTTGAAAAGAATTATAACAAATGTAAAAAAGCTTCTTTTTTTTGTAATGCGCATTTGCATGAAAAGATTTTCTCAAAAGCAACATTTTTCTGAAAATGTATTTAACGTATATATTTACCGAAAAAATGATAAAACAATTTTTTTGACTTAAATAAAATCATTAGAAACCCATTCTCAATTTAAAGAGATTTAAAAAGTTAATTAACAAAAGTTTAAATCCAGACAATAAAAAAACATTTGATATTTTTGTCAAAATTGTCAATTGAACCGAGTCGGATTCTTTAATAAGAATAACTCTTAACATTTTCTTACACCTTTAGAAAAAAAATGAGGTAAGACTACGTTGTAGGGGATTCAAATGAGAAACATAAAAACAGAGCTTTACTGAGGTAGTTTTAATTAACATACTTTTTGGAATATTAGACAATCTCTGACATATTAATCAATTAAAAACCCTACTTCAATTATAAGTAAAAAATTCTTAACAATACTATAAACAAAACAAAAAATGTTTTACCAATATTTTTATAATAAAATATAATTTAAATTTATATAATAATACCAGAAACTAAAAGTCTGAATTATTTTCAAATCAATTTAACAGTTTATTAATATGTTATGTGAAAATGTTCTTTTTTTACACATATAAAACTTTTGATTGTGTTACTTTTGTGTTTGTATCAATCTTACAGATCTGTGTTTTAATTTATTTATTCTAGTAAATTTTAAAAGCTAAATAAAATTTTTGTTTTAAAAAAAAATCTTAGTTCTTAAATGCATAAAAATGCACACAAATCATCAACCCCTCATCTTTTACCGCCATTAAGAAGCTCAAAAAAAATCGACTTACTCACTGAAAAATTAGTACTAGAAATGAAGCTTTAGTCGATTCCATGCTATTTCCCAACTGTCAATAAATAAAGTTAAAAATAAATAAGTCTATTTTTTAATAAAATTTCAAGAAAGTATAATTAAAAAAAAAAATAAGAAGAATCATGCTATGCAAAACTCTTTAATTGTAAAGAGGATCCTCACTTTAAATTACATTTTTGTTAGAGTTAAGGCCTTCTGTCAGAACCCACAGTATGAATAAAATTAAACAGCTTACACATTCAGAAGTTTAAAGATGAAATTCCAACCTTTTACACAGAGTTGACATAATATGTTCATACCAGACATAGATTTCAATCACAGATTTTGTTGACTCAAGTCAACAAAAGTTAAAGATAACTAACAAAGAGCATCTTAAACTAATTCAAAAATTGCTACACAAGTAATCTTACAGCTTTTAAATGTAGTTGAACAGCAAAAACAAACTAATAATGAAGTTAAACCTTTTTTTTTTATACCACTTTACCTAATGATATAGGATGATAAAGAATGCAAAGAGTCTAAAAATAAAATAGTTTTAAAGGTGATTTGAGCAATTGACAGCTATATGTACTTGCATAGAAATTTCACATACATTTACAATAAAAGCATTGTACACACTGAGTAAGGTCAGCACGTTCGGACTAATACAGACATCTGCTACAAAAAAACACATCTTCGAGATGTGCTATCACCATTTAACATAGTTAGTGACACATGCAGATCAGAACCAGCAGAGAAGATTTCTTAAAAGAGGTAAAAAAATTAATTTTAAATCTCACACTTATTGCTTTTTATTTGGCAGAGTGCAAATAGGATTGCAAAAATGTCTTATGAAAATATTATACTACAAGAACACAGAACAGACTTTTATTTTAATAAAACAGGCTTTTTAAATCTGACTCAAAAATTTTAAAATAGCAAAAAAGGGTATTAAGTCAGAAAAAAGCCTGTTTTTTTATTTTATTATATTTCTAAGCTGCAAAAAATATTGCTCAAAGTAGAATAAACACATATGCATAGATGCCAATTTTTAAACATGAATAAATAACAAACAAAAAAATTTAAATTGGAAAGCAAGGACAAATTTGCAAAAAAAACATAAAATTCAATAATTAGTATATTAAAAAATTGAAAGTTAGGAAAAATAATTAAAAGAAAAAAATATAAAATAATTGAAAGAAAAAATATTAAAATAATTAAAAGAAAAAATAAAAGAAGTAGGATTTAGCACTACATTAACCTAAAAATAAGACTATCCTTTATCTTTAAAGTACAAGCATTTTTGTGCTGCTATTATCTGAAAAAGATAAAGTGTAAATAAGAAAATTTCCTTTCTAGATTATGCTTGGGTGTATACTTTCTGTTAACTATCACTCACTTTTATCAGGCAAAACATGAATTCACTTGTAAAATATCTTGTAAATAAAAATATAGTTTAAATGTTAATAGGAAAAGGGAGTAAGCATTAGCAATTTTTATTTACTGTTTTTTTTTTTTTTTTTTTTTTTTTTTTTTTTTTTTTTTTTCTGTTAGCCAGGCACAAGCAAAAAATCGCCAAATAATGTAGAATTCTGCCAAATTTCTTACAACCATAAGGGGAATGTTAATTTGGGGCCACATGCTCTATTCTCTGAATTCATCCAAAACAAAGCACATTTTCTTTTCTTTCTCCTATCTTAGCAACAAAAAAAAAATCGCCTTTTAGGGTAAAACTGCTTTGTTTACAATTCATTAATATTTGTTTATAGTTGAAAGTTTTCGACTTTTATTCCATTGACTGCTTTGTCATTCGCTTCGCTTTGCGACATGGCTCGCGTTTGGTTCACATTTGGCGACATTTGCGTCCGGCTAACAGAAAAGTACCCTTTTTTTTTCAATTTGGTAAATAAGATGTAGAAATAATGATTTCATTACTAGAGTTTTATCTTCTCCAGATAATTAACATCTTTTCCCGGCAATCCAATTTTACTAAGAAAGAAATTTCTGCAATGCATTATTTTAAGAAATAAAAATATTAGATATGTTTAAAGATTTGGCACCAATGCTAAGTGCAAAAAATTGCAAATAACTTGGACAAGAAACAGCATAAGGCAATAACAAACCAGTGAAATTTATTCAAAGGCCCCTGTTTAATGGTCGGTGATGGCCCACAGTGTCCCTGTTTACTTTTATACATAATCATTAAGTGCATGAAAACACTTTTAAATTCAAACTTTTACTGAGAATGTAAATGAATACCCGCTTTGGTTATCTAAAGAAAAAGAAACATCAAATGATAAATGCAAACAAAACAGTCTATAATGAAAAAAAGCTCACGATGTTAGACAAAGCATGGGGAAATAATACAATCTGCTCATTGCTAAGCAAAGAGGCTTACTTTTTTTGTACATGAAACACAAATGTGGCACACTCCACTTATTGCATTTTTAGTGTGGGCGTATGCAAACATTTAAAATGACCTCACAAACACATGTTTTTGTTTTCAAGTTCATAACATGTCAGAATTTAACATAGAATTTCACTGAGTTTCACATCTATATAGCAATTTTTGTCAATATGGAATTTGGTATTCTATTTCATAAGGGGGAAGAAATAAAAAATAAACTCTACAAAATAACAAAAAATGCTCTCAGAAAAAGAACATAAAAAGGTTAAATTTATTAATTATATTTAAATGACGTCAAGATAAAGCAATTTTTTTTAAATTAGTGGAAATTCTAACTACATACAGTACATTCATGAAGTGAAAACAAAGCTTTAACACTTTGAGGAAAAGTTATATTCACCATCCTACAGACAAATTTTAAATTTGCATATTTAGAAACATTCAAGGCGTCGATTCTTACTAAAGAAACTGCTTTAAAGCTTCGTTCCTAAATATGTAGCCAATTATTTTGTAAGTTACTTCTTCTAGTCACAATAAAAAAAAAAAAAAATAAATAGAATTTAAAGCAACATAACTTGATAAATCTAAATACATTTCTATAACTATGATATTACAATAACACATATGAATAAGATCAGCTTGACTTTATATATAACACAAAAAAAAAAAAATGTTTTAGAAACTAAAAAAAAAGTTATGTAAATACTATAACCACAAGCAATGTGAATAACTACTAATGTTTAACTTTATTAATTGTGAATTCAACTAAATCAGTTAAGTATGCATGAAGAATATGCTAAAATTTAATTTAGATAAATATATTTCTTTGATGAAGCAATACAATAACAAACTAGAACAAATAATGAGATATATTTAATTCATATAAGTTAGAAAAAAGTAAATTAGACTCAGTGCCAAAGTGAATATTTAGTAATGATTTCCGCTTTTAGAAAAACAAGGTATTTCTTAATACAAAAAACTTAAACAAGTTTATCTCTTTTTATAGTTATTAATGTTTCACAAGCACAAAGAGAAAACTGAAACTACTTCTTAAAACTATTTTAATGACCTGTCATTAGTAATTAACTTTTCCTATAAAACCCACATCATTTATCTGTCCCATTAAATAATTAATTATGAAGCCAATGTTCACTATTGCACAGTGATTATGAAATAAAGCTGTTGTTTTTAAACACAAGTTAATTAACAAGGCGAGTTTAAAAATTAGATAAATCACTGCACTTTAAAATTGCCCTTTCCTATATTAAATGATTTACCTATAACCACCAAATACGGGTCTCACAAAAAGCTGTAGGTCGAAGCACTGAAAATCTTTCATAACAATCAATCAATATTGAAATGACAATCAATTCTTAAAATGACACAGCAGTCTTTTCTGGCACCAAATAGTGTGCATACCTTATTTTGATTACAAAAATATTAAAGTGAAAGTTTACTTAAATAGCTTCTCATGCAGTCAAAAACTAACAAGAAATTTATTATATTTTGAAGGAAGAAAAAAAAGTGTTAAATATTTGAAAAAGTATATAATCAATAATTCAGATAGCTTAATTTTCAGAGAGAGCAAATCTTCACAGTCGACAATTTAAAAGTTTTCATCTGATTTACTTCCATTAGCAAATTTATAACTTCAGACAATTAACAAGATTTAAAACATTTTTGTAAGAAGATATTAAGAATTGCCAGATATTTAAATGATCTAGACTAAAATGTACACAATTGCTGAACTTTGGCCATAAGACATTGGAAGAGTAAATTTAATTTACGAGTTCATTACATAAAGGTTGCCCAAATGAAAAATTATCCTGTTATAGCATCAGAAAAAGAGTATGGATATCAGCACCTCCATTCAACGTTATAAAGACACATAGTAGAAGTGCACTACAGATTAACTAATTAAACAGTTTGCAAGAAAGCATTTAAAGTGAATGTAAAGTAATGCTAAAAATTATTGTCTCCAGAACAGAACATAGAGCAGTAATACGGTTTTTAGTGGAAAGAGGTGAGTGTTTATGGTGAGCCATTTTCCAGGAAAAACAGCTATACACAAATGGAGTGTAAGTTTTAGGAAAGGTGAACATCAATATCGAATTACGGTAAGCAAACACCGACCATTACAACTATTTAATAAATTAGAGAAATCGAAGAGATAAAATATCTGACATCTGTGCAGCACTCTATCTTAGTAAAATAATGGTGTTATCACATTCTGCCATTAAAAATAGTTGTATTAAAATAGTGTTATTCTGTCATCAATCTTTAGCATGACTTAACATTCACTTTAAATGCTCTAATGCTGACTCAGTTAATCAATTATATGCAATCTACAACCACACTCCTCCATCTTCCTTCATTGCCCCGGATGTGCTTCTATCACTACTGCATTTGTGATGGTATTACATATGTTAGCTTTTCATTAGGACAATTCTTGTATTTTAAACTTTTATTAATAATAAATGAAAGAGAAGTGTCAAGTCAAATATTGTTGACCATACTATTGCGATATAATAAATTATCCAGAATTAGCTTTTTTTCGTATGCAAGTATTGATTATTTTATTTATTTTAATGCCACTAAGCTCATCGTTGTGTTATTTGAACAGTTACTTGGAAGATAGTACACACTTATAAAATGTAGAAAAACAATTTGAGTAGAAATATTTTAGTGCAATAAGATATAAAACATCAGTCAATGACACTGAGGTTAAATTCTATTCACTATACCATAGTATTTGGAATAGTAGTAGCAATATCACGAAGTAATGCCGAAATCTTTTAGATGATCCTCAATGTCAACTCTACAAATGGGACACCGCTTATTGGTAGTCAGCCATTGATCAACACATTCAATATGGAACAAGTGCATGCAAGGTAGCCTCCTACAAAATACAAAAAAATACTTCAGAAATTTACTAAAGCCCAAAACTATAAATCACAAAATTAACAAAAATAAATTTTTGCAAAAAAAAATATTTTTATTGAAGTGATACTTCTTATGAGACTTCCAACAAGGTTGCGTTAAACGTTTAACGCTACATTTTTATTGGCCGGGAAATGACGTGGTAGGATCCAGTTTTCCCTCATTCATTTCCATATTGTTTTGGTTCTCACTAGCATAAAAATAATAAAAGTCATAAAAGTATTGTTTTTCTATAAATATTTTAGTTTGATTTGATACACATATAATTTAATAGGGTAGTATTTTTTATTTTCAAACTTAGTGGATAACAATTGTAAAAAATGAGTGAAAACAATCCCACGGACAATGCGACGGATTTAAGGTTATGTCAAGGTACGTCTCTTGTGAATATCAATTGATTGTTAGGTTTCCTCTTTTCTAATTGCCATTTATATTTCACCAAATGCAGCCATGAGGGATATTAAATTATTTATTGCAAAATCTTTATTGCCACTATCCACTGCAGGTTCAGAAGCTCTGGCAGACGTTACTGGTGAAGAAATTGATTATTGTGAGCGGCCTGTGATTCTTGCAGGAGATTTTAATGTGAATTTCTCGTTACCTGAAGCTGAAACATTATTAACCTTCCTTAAAGACAAATTTGGATTGGAAATGATAAATGGTAAGAATGATCCAACAACCAAAGGGGTAACTACCACTGATGTAGTTTTTGCAAGAAATATCAAAAAAATGGAACTCAAACATTTCGTATCTTACATTAGTTATCATAATCCTATTGTAAATGTTACAGATTTGGATATTTCTCCACTCGAAAATGATAATTAAAAGATGCGATCAATTGTAAAATGTAAGCAATGTTAATAAAGTTTGTCTTAAGGAAGCAATATGATTTCACTAAAAATCAATTTCTACCCCTTCCTATTTTCATTTTCACATTACGAAGTTTCACTTCTTCTGAGCGGAGGGACTCCACTCACTATTTTTTTCATATGTAATTTACATAAAATTTGAATATTAGTTTGCAAGGATGAGATTGGCCAAAAGGAAAAAAGCTGAATTTTCATGCAAGTAATTCTTAAGTGATTTATAACAAAAATGTCAGTAATATATTCTCATTCAGTTTCGCTGATGTTGTGATGATAATATAGCGATAATCGACGATAGAAAAGCTGCCACATTTATAGTATAACTAATTCAGGAAAAAAACTTACTTTTCACAAGAATCACGATAAAGGATTTTAAAGAATATATTAAGCCTAATTTTTAAATCACGTGTAAAAGGGTAATTTTTAAATCACACGAAAATAGATGTTGGATATCACAACTGCAAAAACGAATCACAATATCAGATAAACTCGCGTGAATATGAATCATTACATAGAATTTTAAAAATGCCTGTATACAAATCACGATATTGGATTTTTAAATCTCGTAAGTAAGAATTGCAATGAACGATATTGAAATCGCGAGAATAGGAATCGCAACGCTCAAATTTTAAATCAGGTAAATACCAAAATCGATGTTTGATATTAAAACCCAGCGACCTCCTGATTACGAAAATATGAGCTATCCAGCCGACGGGTAAAAATGAGATAAATCTTATTTTCTGCTCGTAAAAGCTTATAGATAAATAAGTAGATATACGGAAGGGTTGGCAGCTACGTAGTTAGAATTTTCTATATATCTTTTGATGTATTATATCTAGATATCAAATCGGAAATAAATATAATTATTTTATTTCAACGGCTGAATTTTCAGAAAAGGCAGAATGTTTGTAAAAAAAAAATTTCAGAGAATCTGAGTTTTTGATAAAAAGGCTGAAATTCGCTAAAAAGCGGAAAAATCTCATCCCTGAGTTTGGAAATTTACAAAGCCCAAATCTATAAAAAAAACAGAGTCATGCTCAAAAAAACTTACAAGAAATTTCAGAAAAAGGTATGAAGTTAGGATATCACTTCAGAAATTTATCAAAACCACAAAAATAAAAATAAATTATGTGTGAAATTACAGGAAATTTCAGAAAAAAATTATATCTACGTTCATGCTGTGATTTAATTAAAATCTGGATAACACTTTCGAAACTAATTATGACGAAAGAAATTATGCACACAAAAAAATTAAGGAAATCTAAAGCAGACATTTATTATACGTTGTTGTGATTTATACAAAATTTAGATACTACGGAAGAAATTTATTTAAACAAAAATCCCAAATAATGCAAAAAATTGAAATTTCAGAAAAAGTATATATTTTGGGGTAATTCAGACATCATTTCAAAAACTTATTAAACCTAATTTCATAAACAGAAATGTACAAAAAATAGATTAATATTTTTAAAAAAACATATTGCATTTTTAAAAAATGAATTTTCCAACATACATTGATGTTTAATAGCTGATTTGATGTTGAACCAACAGAATTACGGTGGTCAGGCAAGAAAAAATTTATAGACACAAAAACAAATATAGCAAAAATATTATGTAATCTACTAATTAAGCTTATTGAATGATGCTACAGCTCGGCTTTAATCCTGTCCCACCCCCCATTCAGGGACTACTATTGAAGGATCAGTTTAGGTAAAATCCTCAATTCTGTTTTCAAAAAGTCTTTTAAAAATCTCTTCAATCCCTTTGTTTACTTTCTTTTCGGTCCAGTTTCTTTTATTGGTATCAGTTGAAATTTTTCTGGAAAAATTTATTTTTTTATAAATCATGATAAATTGGACAGACAGTAAGTATGTGTTCGATATGTTCATAACTCTTACAAACTTTACAGTTCAGGTCTTTTCGAACAATTTTGACTAATAATTACCCTGGGCTCCATGGTTAGTTAGAAATTCATTGATATAGAAGTTGGAGTAGATTTTTCGATTGCTGACTTTTGGGATGAATTGGTAAGTGTGTCGACCCTTTGTATCATTATTATCCCATCTTTGCTGTCATGCTGAATGAGGCTATAAACTAAGTTTGGCAAAAACTGGTAGGGGAAAAAAGAACAATAGAGCAGTTTTAGGTCGCAGGACACATGTTTACTTTTAAGGATGACAAGCACCCTAAAGGGCAAAGGATCTTTAAAAATCAATACTAATTTCTGTAGTAAATTAAAACTAAGTTCCCCACTTTAGAAGTAATTTCTTTTGCCTTCCAAATCCTTAACATACAGTACCTTAAAATGAAGAACAAGAAAATAAATTTTCAATTGTGTTTACCTGACATTTTCATCATCTTCAAATTCACAAAGGCAGATAGTGCATTTTTCTAAGTTGTCCTCATTTTCGTTGCATTTTATTATCTATAAAAGTAAAATATATAAAAATAAATATACAAAAAAAAAAATTAATAAATATGTAAAAAATAATGTAATGTAATAGTAAACATGTATCAACCTTTTTGTATTTGTGAGGCAAAGTATATCTTTCAATAGTAGCTTGAGAGGCACCACGATTCACAGCCATTCTTCGCTGATCAACAAACCTCATATAATCCTATCCAACAAACGAAGAATTATAACACACACAAAAAAGAAAAAAGAAATAAAACATTGCATCGACAAAACTAATCATAAAATAAATTTTTTTTAATTCAGTAATAATTCTGTAAAATTAATTTTTTATGGAGGCAATGCCTAATTTAGAGTCATTTGAAAAGTTTTATCATTTCAAAATAAGAAAATAATTACTATTTTACTATTTCCATCTGACATGTTTTCTTTTTTCCTGAGATATTTTACCATTTATATATTGTATGTACATAAAAGCGAAGCAAACTTATGCAAGCTTAACAATACAATAATAATATTTAATCTCAGTAAATCTCACATTTATAGAAAATGTTATTTATAAAACCATTATGAGATATGCCACTTATGAAGGTATGAACTCAAAATTATTTTTAAGGTTAATTTACGAGTTATTTTATGTGGTTAATGATCATGTTAACTGGTTAACAAATATTAGGCTTAAAATTCTAGTGCACAATAATAAAAAAAATTATAGCAGAATTTGTTTTTCTATTAAAACCTAAGTATAGTTCTTAACAGAAAGAGTACTGGTATTAGCAACCAAGTGAAAAGAAAGGGAAATTCCATATTGCATTTGTAGATGTAGAAATAAGGGGAAACTCCCTTTTATGTAGCAATGGAAAAAAAGGAAGTGGAAAATGGCATCTATAGTCAAGCTGAAGAGAAAGCTAAAACAATAACCTTATACCTAACAGCAAAAATTAAAATAGAGATTTCGCTTTTTGCCGTAATTAGTTCTAAATACTTATATATATTTAGATGAACTATTATTTTAATTTGAAAAATAAAAATAATTAACATCTATTTTAGGAAAGTTTCCATAACGCATTTCTTTGGAACATTACTAAATGACAATTTTTAGAAAGCCCCCAAAATGAAATTTTCCATGTAAAATATTTTTCCCATGTATACAATAATGACTACATATACAAATATTTTCCTCACATATATGAGATGAGAAACATAGGGTTAACAACTCAACTTAAAACTATGAGACAGCTTAAAATGATTAGATGTAGAAAATTTTATCTTTTTCCATATAAAACAATTTATCAAAAATTTTTTAAATAAAATTTACAAATATTTCGATTTCTTTTTTTCCCCCATCATTTTTTGGTGGGGAATCGAAAACATTAATATTAAATTTTTATGGCATTAATATAAAACAAATTTTTGTTTCCAAGTTCATAATGCTAAATTCAGAATATAAAGTAACAGGAGAAAAAATAATGTAACATTTAGGTAAACCAAGATCTACATAAAAACAGTTAAAATTGAAATGTATGTATTAGTCTATTTAAATTACTAAAACATTGAGTTGAAAGTTAAAAGTAGCTGTATTTGTTGATGAAAATTAAGTTTTACATTTCCCTTTGATGCAGAATTTTTAATAAACATATTTTTCACATTTTCTTCATTAAATTGGTTTTAATTTACGTCAAAATAAGTAAAAAATATTACATTTAGCATTTTAATAATTTATGATTATGAAATATAGTGTGAAACCCAAGTGTCTTTTTCAATGTTAAAGGTAAATTATTTTCAAATAATACTTTTAAAATTTGCACTTTTTGCAGTTATTTAGATCTGAGCAAAACAGATATTCATCATCGAAATGTATTTAATTTACAAAATTAATTATTGATAAGGTTTTAAATATGAATGAAAAAAATTTCCAGCGACTTTTTTTTATATTTTAGTGCAAATATAATTCCGATAATCTAATAGATCATTAGAAAAATAATATAAAGAAGGGACACTCACATCCAGTCTACATTAAATGGTTAAGACCACAATTTGCATTTAGTAATTACTAAGGCCCGGATTTTGATGACATTTGCATTTTTGGACATTTTTTGTCCTTCAGAGCATTTTTTTAGATTAATAGGGCATTTTTTTTTTTCAATTTTGGAGAATATTTTGCATTTTAAAGCATTTTTTAAGTTTTTTGTTAATTTTTTCCAATTTTTAATATTTTTTTCGGGGCATTTTTATTACAAGAAATGCAAGATTTGTCTTGATTTAGAAGATGCTGCATCAATTAAGATAGCGCAAAACGTGTTGGCCTCTGATAAAATCGAAGGAAACTTATCATTTATCAAATCTAACTTTGCTATTGTGTCCTCGACAATTACAAACTTGGAGAAACAAGAATTGGAGCTTTACGATGCAATAAATTATATTGACGTAGTGAGTCAAGTGTTGCAAAAAGCAAGGGGAAAGACGGCACAAAGTGTAGCACCTAAATTGAACAAAGTTTTGGAGAAGAACACTGGCTTCCAAACAATGAAGAAAATCTCCAGGATATTAACAGGTGAAGCAACGTCTTTTCAAATTGAAGAAGAACTGTCAGTAAGTGAGACCGTCTTTTTCAAGTTTGCACCAATAACATCAGTAGACGTTGAAAGAAGCTTCTCCAGGTATAAAAATTTACTTTCAGACAAGAGACACTCGCTTACATTTCAAAATATTAAAAATCATTTAATAATCAAATGTAATTCTGATATTTAGTAATATTAGGAGATGGAAGTTGTTATGTTCATTAAAGTTTCTATACAAAATGAAAATGTTTTAGAGTCCTTTTTCCTTTTTTTTTTAGTTATTTTAGGATTAAAAACATATTTTTCAAACTTTAATGAACATAGAACAAGTATTGCACTGCTTTATATTTTTTGAAATGATTCATAATAGTAAACATTGTTTAAAATTGAGTAACACATTGTTTTAGTTCAATATTTTTAGTTTATTTAAGTCATGTCATAAGGCATTTTTAGCGCAATTTTCGCATTTTTAGAGCATTTTTTGTACTTTTTAAGGGCATCAGTTGAGATTTTTTAGGTCATCAAAATCTGGGCTCTATCTAGTAATTACCTTTGTTTCTGTTACTTTACGTACCTGAATTTAAAAGCTAAAATTAGTTTTTTTTTTATGCTTAGGAACAAATAACGCTTTTCATCTAAAAACACTTTAGTTCCAGTCTAAGAGATCAAATTATTTTTCAACTCGACTAGAAATTTTCTTTGTAAATATGTGACCCCAGTGGCAATTTTTTTAACAACTGGAAATTTTTAATTTCAAAACAAAACATGTATTATGTTTAACATGATATGATCAAGTATCATATTTTTACTCTACTCTAGAATTGAAAACATTTGGATGCAGTGTTGAAGAACGACCTAGTGAAATAGCAGTTTTAAGTTTCTTTAAAAATGCAATTCAAATTATGTTGCGGGACTTAAATAAAAATATTAACACAATTTCCTTAATTACTTGACTCAAAATTTTTTTAGTAATTAAGCTATAACATATTTGTAATGCTTACATTCCTAAATCAAAAGATTCAAGTACATATAAGATTGACTTCAGAATCAGATATTTTAAAAATATTAACAAAATTTGAAGAGATTTTAAAGAAATGCAAAGCAAAATATGCACATACTTCTATCCTAGCATGAACTTGACGTGGCAGTACAGGTACATAGTGGTGCTGGAATAGAGGAGGTGTAGGAGGAAGCTCAGTCAAGTGAGGCAAACCAAATAGCTCAGGAGGCCTAATACCCATAGGCTGCAAGATCACAGAAAAAAAAATTACTTAGTTTAGAGAAATGCATTTTAAACAATAGTCAAAAAATCAAGCAATTTAACAACCAAAATATTAAGATAACCCTAAACATAAATAATCAAAATTGCATATGTCTCCACATACCAAACTTGTTTCTTTTCATAATATTAGATATGGAAATAGTTACAGATTGCTATAAAATAATGTTTGAAATCATACAGGAACTTGTAATCTGTTCAGAACAGTATAAGAATATCTCTATGACAACCAATCCTATAGTCACTGTGAACACTATATTACAGGGTTCGTGATTTTTTTGATTTTTTTTTTTTTAAATCAAAAAAGTCAGATTTTTTTGATTTAAATCAGACTTTTTTGATTTTTATTCAAATACACAGTAAGAACTTTCATTTATGATTAAAAAAACTTTGTAAATGTTTAATCAAAATTAAATTAATATTAAAACTATATTATAACAATATTTTAGAAGCTCTAACTTACTAAAATAATTTTTCATTATAATACATAGCTTTGAATGCATAGCAACCATTCTGAAATAAATGCAGAATTGAAATTTAAAGAGTAGATGAAATAAAAAATTCAAAGAATACTACAGGGGTCTATCTAGGTTTTTCTGGGAGGTATACCTATTTTGTGAAAATTCAGACATAATTTGTGAAAATTAAAAATCAGATCAAAAAATCAACACAAATATGGTAAAAATATGGATTTATCGTTTCTTACGAGACACAGAAATGAAATTTTCAGAAAAAAGTATTTTATCAAATTATTCTACCGTTTTTCCTAAAGTTGAATTTGTGAAGGTACCGCTAACTATTAAAACAAAGTTTCAATTAGTAAACCATAATTTTAATTTAAAATTGTGATTTCTTCTCTTTTTTTCTTGATTTTTAAAATGACAAAATAAATGTAACAGATTGTGTTTATAAATGTAGACATTCATCAAAAAATAAATAAATATTTAATCTATATATTTTTATATTAAAATAATTATTTTTAATTCTATATCAAAATAGATAAGTTAAGCTAAAAAAAAAATTTAAAAATTCTAAGTACTCTTTGGAATTTTTTTTCACAAAATTTCTTTATAGAAAATCAGATAATGTCAAAGATACTGTAAACATATTGTAACCCTACTGCTAACAAAAGCCAACTGCTTCAAATAGACTTTGAAGAGAAGAATGACACTATATCAGGAGAAAAATATCTGAATTTATCAGCCTTTTTTTTTCTTTTTCTACTTTTGGCATATTAGGGTAATTTCTTTTTAATATAACCTCAAGCTTCATAAATATACATTTTCCACCAATAAAATATAATGCAGATTTTAATTCCACGCTTTTTCATTCAAAAGGTGGAATTTTAATTAACATTATTTGCATTATTTTTTGAAAAAAAATCATGCTTATTAATTACTTCTACAGCTATGCAAGTCTATATTAAGACAGCATTAAATGTTCACTTTAATCTGTACTTTCAATCTCAAGAATCAAAACATTTTTAAAAATGTAATTTCAAATGTGTTGGGATTTAACAAACACCAAGAACGAAAGTAATTTCGTTAACTAAAATTAATTAAAGCAGCAATTTATTTAAAATAAGTTTTAAAACTAAGAAAACAAAACAATAGAAGTATCAAGTTTAAAACACTGATTTTTAACTTTTAAAATCAATATATATATTTAAAAAGAAATAATTGATTTAAATCAAGCTGATTTAAATCAACAAACCCTGCTATATTAGTTGAAATTTTTCTTTTGTTGTATTTTAAATGAACGTATTTACGTAAACACTTTTTTCATCACAGAAAAATTAATATGGGGAATCTTTGTAGCAATTCTTACTATGTAAGAAAAAGTGTCTGAAATACATGTCGGTATGAAACCAATCCCATGGACACTGCGAATACCAGATTTGTTTACAATTTTTCTGATGGAGTATTTTAAAAGGACTTATTTACTTAACATCTTTTTAATCACAGAAAAAATTAGTAAGGAGAATCATTGCAGTAATTTTTACTACGCATAATACATGTTTTGCAAAAGCTTTAATATCTCCTGTAAATAATATTAATTGTAAATGTGTAACAAGGGTAGAAATGCAGTACAATGCAAATAAAAAAATGTAAAATGATTTTTGTTAATTATGTATGCCAAACCATGTTCCAACTTTTTTTTTTTTTTTTTTTTTTTTTTTTTTTTTTTTTTTTTTTTTTTNTTTTTTTTTTTTGTCTGTTTTGCTTTTTCTTTTTAGCTAAAATATTTTGAATCCCACTGTACATTATGTAAGAGTGAAAAAATTTAAAAGATTTAACATGTTGAACTTTAAAACATTATTGAACACTTTGTAAATGTGGATTAAAATTCATTTAACTCACCATTCCTGTTGGAAGACCAATTACAGATGGCACACTAAAATGATGCAATCTTGGAGGAGGCGGATGATGATAATGATGCTGGTGAATATGATGATGATGAATATGTCCCACTTCACTAAAGTATAAAAAAAGATAACTGACATTAATAAAACTAATTTTTTCCATAAAGAAAATAATAATAAATCATTTCTCAGAGAGTTGCAAAATTTATCAGTTTGAAAGTTACTAGGTGTTTGACTTTAAAATAAAACAGTTCCGCAAAGGACAGCTCTAAATACCGGACACCCTCTATTTAAGAGACATTTCTATTGTTCCAAGTCCTTTTGAATAGGAGTCTTAATTTGTTTACATCTTAATAAATGATCCTCGATTTAAATGATATTGAAGAATTTTAAAAAGTAAGATAAAAGTAGAAAAATGCAAAATATAAAATGAAATATGAATACTTTTGTATAAAATTAAGAACATTTAAATTAAGCTACAGACCTTAAATAACAATATTAAAACATATTTTTCAAAACTAATTATTATACACCGTGTTTACTATTATGTTTTAAAAATTAACAAATGAACTGTTATGTACTGAACTTATTATGTAATAAACAAATGAACAATTGTCATTTTTACAATAGGTTCTTAAATTTATGTATCATTCATGTCGATAAATCAATTTTCAGAAAAGTATTTTTTTTCTTTTGATTAATTTTATTGTGTCACAGAAGAATTTGCTTTCATACTCCAATCAATATATTTTTTTTCCTGACATTGACTTAAATTTATTTAAAGCAAAAACTACCACACTAATTCTGGTGACAAAAGATTAATAAAAAGCTCATCTACAACTTGCGCGTGGAGTGAAAAATGTACATTCAAATGTATACATTTATATTTAATTTTAAAATTTCAAAGCAATTCAGTGGACTATTGGTACTGATAATGCAAACAATTCAGATGAAAGAAAAAGAGTTTATACATTCTCTCAAGTGTCAGCCTTTTACTGTTCCTTACGCAAAACAAAAAAAGTAAACATCTTGAAACCGTTAATCTGATTATCAGCTTTCCAAGTACTAGGACTAACTCTTAATAGTTTGAGGGCCTATCCATGAATATGATAGTTTGTGCAGTCAATGTTTTAAGCATATGAAATCTGAAATTAGATATTTTTTCAGAATAAACTTAGACTAATTTGGATTCTTGACTGTCAAAATATGGCCAACCACAAACTGGAAAATATGGTCCAAAATCTTTATGTAGTAGAGAAGTTAAAAGAGTTTGAGCCACTTCAAATTGTCAGCAACTTTTATGTATTTCACTGGAACTGTTGAAAAAATATCCAGCAAATGTAAAAATTTTTGCTCACAATTACAAAACTCATTTATGCAAGGTCATGCAAAATTGATTTAATAATTATTTACTATTTTTTATTATGTAATCTTACTTTATTATGAAGTTAAACTTTCAATAAATAAATTAGACAAAGAAACTTAATAAAATGAAAAAATTCAACAAAATAAGATTTTTAATAATATATAAATATTATTACGGATTTGATCCCGAAACCAAGGCTTCAGCTTGCATTACAATGGCATCAGCGTCTGTAGCGGCGCATGGAACAGATTGGCTGGGCACTGAGGTAGGCAGAGTAGGTGGCGGTGGTATTGCTGAAGGTATAACATTCAGTCCTGATGGGCCTGGAGGATTATTACCAGGATTGGCAGGAGGTACTAGTAAGGAAGTGTGCATTAGGTGTGCAGTAGGTTGACTTGTAGTGACAGGAGCCACAGTGGCCGTGGCAGTGATGTTAGGTGTTGTATCGGGGCAGAGATAAAATGCAGGAGTAGCTGCATGGGCTTGGCTTTCCATCAAATGCATTGTTAACTCTTGTTGCCTATAATATATTATCAATATTTTATTTCAGAAAGAGTTTATAACAATCAATCCTTTTTAAATTACCAATTTATTAACATAACATTGCCAGCATTTAATAACTAACTAGAATTTTCATTTTGTGATGTAGCATAACTACATTACAAAATGAAAATTTGACAACTATGAGCTTAAAACCATACTATTAAAAAGCCTCATAAAAAAACACATATTTGCTGAGAATATATTTTATAATTTCAAAACCGTCGTTGAACAGCCGACCCAATTTTTTTGGTTTATGACTACTAATGTTCAACTCCGCAATTTTTTACCCAATCCGAACTCCTAGAAATTTGCCTTCATGGAGGACTTTTGATGGAACTAAAGGCCTGGTTTCTTAGGACAGGACACCGTCAGCTGGAAATCAGCGCTAACCTCTGATTGGTCCATTTGTGAGTTTGATAGTATATGTCATCGAACGCTCATCTTGAACTACAATTGTCGTCCAACTCAACTGCAGTAGGATTACAACGTGACGTTAATCACAGAAGCAATGGCGGACAACATCCAACAGCACATTGAAATCAGCCAAGATTTTGATTTTGACATTAAACATAGCTTCTTCATTAAACATAGCACTCTTCATTTAGCTCAGCTATAATGTGTTTTTTCTTGGATAAAGTCATTATTTGTTCTCTAAAACACTGGTCGACAATAACAAAATCAATACAAAATCAAAATAAATATATGTTTACGTTATTAATGCAAGTGCAATGATAGATAATGTCTGCGTTGGACGGACTGCTCAAGCTGAGCTAACAAAAAATTATTTTTTTGGCGTCAGCTCTACGTCAACTTTCCGCTGACGCCCAGATAAGGCGCTTGTCCTAAGAAACCAGACCTTAACCTGCATTTGCGTTACATGGATAGGAAGACCACGAGAACCTCCCACGGTTAGCCTGACAGCAAGGGGACTCTAACCTATGATCTGTCTAACACTGAGGATATTTCACGTCAGCACTGTGATCGGTGCCAACCGGATGCGGAATTGGTATCGACCAGCCATCGCCGGGACCGAACCCCGGTTCACCTCACTAGAAGACGAACGCTCTATCCCCTGAACCATCGCGGCTCTTGCTCAGAATATTAACAAAAATCCAGTACTGAAATGGGTTAAGGGATTCTCTCTTTCTCAGATGTACACAAAGCAGAGCTTGTTACTTAATATAACCGACTGAACCACATTCCTTGCTTCGAAGATCGCCTTACTAATGAGGCAAACATAAACTTTTAAACCGAAACAGTTATAAGGATATTACTTGCATATATTTGCATTGTGTAATGAAATATAGTAAGACTTTAAAATAAATAGATATTTATTGTTCAGGAGGAGGGGAACAAAATCAGTAAGAACTGATTACACAAGCAAACCTGTTGCTGTCTCTTATTACAAAATTAAGAAGTAAATCTGATATTATTTTGCAAACAAGGTAATTAATTTACCAAACTCAATGACCACATGACAGATCAATAAAAATTAACATGTCAATAAAAATTAAAATCAATAAAAATAACATGTAAAGCATTTGCGTTACACGGAGAGGAAAATCACGAAAACCTCGCATGGTTAGCCTAACAGCAAGGGCACTCTAGCCCGTGATCCGTCTACCACTGAGAATATTTTAGGTCAGCACTGTGGTCAGAACAAGGATTGCAGAATTCGTATCGACTAGACATTGATGGGTTTGGAACCCGGTTCACCTCATTAAAAGGCAAACGCTCTTTCCCAGACAAAAGTATACTGAATTTTCATAAGATTGGTTAAAAATAATTGTGGATTCACATACAGATTGTATACACTTGTAGTACTATACATTAAGCTATGCATTTGATGCTAAGAGCACTATTATCTACCTTTAAAGTTCATACTCTAATATACTCCAATACATAAGTTCCTTATATACTCAAATTTTTCAAGTTAAAACACTCGAAGACGATTTCTGTGTAAATAAAATTATTGTTCTAAAATACCAAACAGTTATTTAAGAAAAATTAAAACTCATAAATACAATACATACATTTGCATTAAAACACTATGTTGATGGAACCTCCGCCTGTTTACTTCCTGCATTCGCTGCTGAGACTATAAAAGTAACGAATTATTTAAACATAACAAATCACTCCAATTAAATAAAATATAAAATTCAATCAACATAAATAATTAAATACTGAATCAGACAAGTTCTTTAAACTTCTAAGTGTTGAGGACAAGTAAGAACAGAATTTTATCATTTTTGTATGAATTTAACACCATAGGGAAAAACTGGTATAATACACAAAAAAATTACTGCCTGATTAAAAATTTAGAAAAAGTCAGATTTAATCCTGTAAGGGTCAATTTGAAGTAGAAATTGTTGAAATCATTAGTGGGGAAAGAGATAAGGGTGAGAATATTCCAAAGTGGTCACAGTAAATGTGAACCTTTCACACACTGAGTCTTCCTCAAAAAGAACCAATGACATGTAAAGCGGATGAGCAACATAATTGTTGAGAAAAAGTAGCAATGCCAACTTATGCTTCCTGAACAAGCTCACCATTAGACTTGCTTCAAAGAAAAATTTGAACATTAAAAATCATTTCGCTATTGTTCTTAAATTCTGTAGATTAATAGCATCAAATTTCACCATCAGAGGCTCAAACTTTCCAAACTAGCCGCCAATAATCAGAAGTAAAAAAATACATATAATGTTAACAAAATCCAAATTAGCACAATTTTAAGGTAGTTTTACTAACTAATTCTACATAGGTATGTGCCTAATATTATTATGCATAGACTTTTTATTAAATATGAAAAAGTGACACCTGTCACTTTTTTTAGATTATTTGCAGGAAATAATAAAATTTCATAACTCTTCGAAGTTAAAGCAGAAAAAAGACTTATTTTTGACAGATTATTAACGAAAAAAATCAGTTTTTATTACTCAACTGTAACCCTGAAATCATGATTATCCAAATCCTTTTTTTTTTTTTTTTTGCAAATGAAACACAATATTACAAATAATAGCACCTATGCCATTAGAGCACATGCTCTCCAGTATTTTTCAATTGTGCAATTAAAATTCAGCAGTGCAGGGCACACGTCTAAAAGTTCATCAGTCATAGGAAAACCAGAGTTACAAGTGAATCGGCTACGCCAATACAAAAAAGCATTAGAGGTTTCAGGTGTAGCAGGGGTAACGCTAAATCTGATAGGTAATGCTGCCACTTCTCCAGTGTTGATTATGAAATGGTAAAACTTACAATAAATCGTCTCACTGCATACACTAATGTTGCTTACACAATTGTATTCCAGTTATGTTGGTTTTCCTTTTATTTATAGTTTTGTGGTAACCTCACCGTATGCATCTTGCTCTCTGACTTTCTGAAACTTGGATGTCTTAGGTGTTTTACCTTAACCTACTGTAGGTATTGCAGCTTATCTTGTAAGCAATTTTAATGAGAAAATATTATTTAATAAAAATTAGTCACTATTTAGTATAAATTAGTCATTTTTGCTATGTCATTCCAGAGATGAAACATGAGACAAGGTTTTAACATATTTATGTCAAAATAACAAACTGTGACTACGAAGATAGAGTTCAGTTTGTGACCTAAAAATCCTGTAATTTAGTGAATTTATGATGCTTGTGAATTAAAACTAACTCCCGTTTAATTACTAACTTGTACAACTTCAATTTGAAATTGCTGTTTTAACATGAAAAACCTGTAAAGGCTTAAAAATACTTTTGAAAACTAACTGCTAGGAGAATTCATGAGTTTTATTTTATTTCCTAGAAAAGGTGCCTCTTTTTTAAACCACCTTTATCAGATCTTCTTTATTAGACATTACATGTTAAATAGGATGCTTTAGAATATTAGAAAGGCTTAGATGGTGAATGCAGTGTTGTGAATGCAGCAAAATAAAGATGACATATGTACAGCTTTATGTTGCAGATAAAATAATTAAAACGTAATAAAAGCACTTACTTGCCAAATTCTTGAGTGAGTAGGATTCATTCTCACCAAGCCAGGAGGATGGGGATGGATCGTCGGATCGTGGTGATTGGAAGGAGTGGAAACAGTCACTGAATTATATAGCTGTCCAAATGCTGGAGGATTGTTGAGTGCAGGATGATGATGAGCAGGATTATGCACATTGGCAGGCACATAACTAAAATGTGGACTTGACGTAGCTGAAATAAGGTTTAAAAGTTTATAAAATTTTAATTCATGAAAATAACCTATCATTAATCTATGAAATGAACATTATAGTCCCCATGGTAGAATCGCAACAACAAAGCGACATTGTCACAGAATGTTAGAGTTCTTGCAGAAAGATTTTTCTTTCAAAAAGTAAAAATTTTAGTTTTCATTTCTACAGAAATTTAAATGTAATATTTAAATCATACATTTAGATAATCACTTTTTGAAGTGTTCATTACAGTATTTACTTTTTAAGGTAATAATTCCATCCAATTTTTGGCAGTTATTATGACTATTATTATGACAACCTAATCTCGAAAGGAAACACACATTTGAGGAGACTGTTTAGCCTGATTTCAGCGTCGATCTTTCTTTCGGCAAAAACTACTATGGATTTCATGATTTTTTCAAAAAGTTTGTTTACTGTGATGATTATTTACAAAATGCGAAGGAAATAATTTGTGCAATGAAATGTTTATGAATTTGCAGCAGAATATATATCTATAAACACACACACATCATGAGTAAATAAAAATATGTATAATAGAAATTTTAATAAAGATCATTATTACAAATTTATTATAAAGACATTGAAAATAGTACAAGAAATAAATTTAAAAATTTCATGGTTAACAATTAAACATGTCATGGTTTCGAATTTGCAGTTCATCAAACACTTAAAATTAACTTTTATCTGTAAACTATTTACAGGAACGTTGTTTCACTACAACAAGAATTTTTGGGAGACGAGATGACACTTCCAAAAAATTTTTTAGCGCTGAGTGTTAATATTCTTAAAATTCGATTATAAATTACAATATTTAAGATTCTGCAACCTGAAATAGTTTAGCACACCCTACACTTATACAATATCCTAGGGCATAAATAAAGTTGCCATAAAAATTCAAAACAGAGAAAACATGAATAAGAGTTGAAAAATATATGAAAACTATTTTACTTGGATAAAGTGCATGATGAGAATGTAGACACCGATTTCTAGGCAGGCAATTACCATAAGTAAGACAAGGATCTGGAACCGGTCCTGTACCCTGTATGAAAAAATATAAGTATCAGTAATTAGTTAAGCATATTTACATGCCACTACCTTTCCTTAATTGAAAGATCTTTTCTTTGTCACAAAATAATCTGTCACATTCTTTAAAAATGAATCCATTCGACTTTGTTTATATATGTATTTGTTTATATTTGTAAATCATAAGTAAGACAAGGATATTGGAAATCAATCTTAAGGGTTTATACAGGATTTTTGGAAAACAGCATTTCTATCTTATATCATCTAATCACAGATTAAATCAGAAATAACATTTTAAAAATAAAATAAATTTTTTATTTGCACTTGTTTGTGAATTACCATTTGTAAAGCTTATGTCAATGCTTAAGATAAAAACTATAAATTTGTAAAAGTACTACGGTAGATAAATCTGATTTATTTTGTATCATTGACTAATATAGATCACTAGATATTACATTGGCAACCACAAATAAAAACACAATATAACATCAGGCACATTAAAAAAAATTGTACAAAGGAAATTTAATGCAATGTTAAATCATACAACAATTATTCTTCTGTTTTTTAAAAAATATCAAAAGGAAGGGATCATATTAAAGACTAATGCAGGTTTGTTTACAGGTAACGTTTATAGATACTTAAAAAACATTTCAAAAATCAGTAAGAAAATAAGATTTCTTTTTTTTTTTTTTATCTTCACAAAATTTGGACTTTTCGAATTTCTTTTTAATGAGCGGCACTTTTACAAAAAATAAATTACAATAATAATAATTCAATATGCTAAAAATAATATAATTTTTTTTATATCTTACATTTTTTATGAAAAATTCTTAATTTATAACCTGAATTTTTAAATATTTAAAAATTTTAGTTCAAAATATTTTAATTAAACCTTTTTTATTTAATGAATAATATCTGTTTTTTACATAGAATTATATAGAAAAATTACATAGAAAAATATGTTCAAAATTTAAAATATTAAATTCCCAAACTGCTACCATCCTAACTTCAGCAATTAATTATAAATCATATGACCCGATTTTACGGATTTCCCCCAATTCCAACTCATACCTCTATCTGAAAATCAAAACAAATTACTTTGAAGGATTTCTCAGAATGAAATTCCAATTTAAACTTTCTTCTATGCCTTTGTTCACTGCTTTTGCAGCTACCATAAAATTTTTTATAGCAATTAATTTCTACTTTTTCATTTGAAAAAAAAATATTTACACAGTTTTTTATGTAAAATACATATATACAATACTAATTTTTACGTAAAATACATTATTAACCAGTGTACTTTATTGATTAAGTTATGCTTAATCAATAGTCTAGAGAAAAAAAAATTTAAAAATTAGGAGGAATACTGGTCTAATGACTGAAATGTCAATTTTAATCATCCAGTGTGAAATAGTTTGCACACCTCTGTACTGGTTCATAAAAATATAGTAGGAAACTTTTTTTTTGTCCTAATCAGTACACCATGTTTCCATGTAACCATGACGAAAACCATGCACTGATAAGTTGCAAAACATACATTTAACAATACATAAGCAAGCTGTTAATGATGTTGTGCTGAGAGAAATATATTAAAATAACATTAATTTAGTTGAACTCAGAAAGATTTATACTGATTTACATAAAAATAAAAGCAGAATATTTTTAGCTATATCAATTTTTATCAACAAACAAAAATGAAGACATACACTACATAAATACAGTTAAACCTAAGTATCACCAACTGGAAGTGAATCATTTAAAATTCTGCAATACCCAATATCTTTAGAACTGCATTACACACATTTAAAAAAACAGTTATTTTAAACAATGTCAATTTGTTTGCTTTTTCATTGGACTTCAGGTTTTGCTGAACTTTTTCCATTTTGTCATTTTATGCTTTTTATTATGTTTGCTGTAACCACTTTTAATATTTTTGATTCTTCCCAATCATGATTGTTTATCTACTTCCTGAGAATTATCAGTTTTGATTATGTTCACTAAACTAGCAAATTGCTTCTAGTCTCATGGGCAGACACTTCTATCTATATGCACTCTAATCTTATATGTCTGTTTAGGAATGGAGGATTCGTATCACTTTCTTCAAAACTCATGGATATCTTTTTGTAAGGGCTTAAGAAATAGTTCACATAACTATTCAAAGGCTTTAAGAATTTTTATTTTTTATATCTTATATCTGTCGTTGAACAACCGAACCAATTTTGGGTTTACGACCACTAATGTTCAACTCCGTAGTCTTGTAAATTTGAACCAATCCAGAAGACAAGGAAACTCCTGGATCAGTACCCCTAGAGGTATGATTTGTTATGGGAACATGGAAGACATCAGTCACCATTTACTACATGGGGAGTGTGAAAGGATTGCAGTTCAAGAAACAATTTCAAATTACTCAAAAATTAGTGTAAAAAAATATTTTAAGAAATTAAAGGTAGCAGATATTTGGCTAAAGGTAGCATATTTGGCTAAAAGAGATTCATTTTTCCATTATCAACATAAAAAATATGTATAGAATTGTCTTTTTTTTTTTTTTTTTTTTTTTTTAAATCAAAAAATTTGGGTTGTCAAAGTTCATGACATCAAGGTTAAACTGTATTTTAAATACTACTTGAAAACTTCATGCAGAACATTGCATAGTTACAGTACTCAGAAAAAACAAAGCGGAAAGGGGAGTCTAATCTAACACCAATGTCCTTAAGGGGACTTTAACCATTTCCTTCCAGTGGTATGTGTCATACCATGATTACAAAGACAGCATGGTATATGGTATCACAACTGTAACACAAATATGTTTATGATTAGTGTTACATATATATGTTAATGATTACAAATAAGATTAGTGTTCAAGTCAAATTTCCTAACTTTCAGTCATCTGAACTGAATTCTGAAGCGTTTGAAATTATCCAGAAATAGTTTCATGATATTTTAATCAGAAGGAACTGATTAAATATTTCTCACAGTTTAAATTATGAATTAAGGCAACATACCAGATAAAATAAACACAGGATTGAACAATGGAAGAAATAATTTGAATGTACGGTGCATTTGAAAAGTTTGATGAATTGCCTCATTAAATATAAAGGGGAAAAAGAGATAGATGCTTTTGGCAATTTAACAATACACTTTTGACAATGGTTGAACAGTTATTGAAAATTGTTAGCAAAAGTTTAATTCAATATCACTTGAATTACAGTAACGTTGTTAGTCAGCTGACTTGAATGCAGCTGCTTTTCAAAATCTTTCTTATTATCTTTTAAGTGTTGAAAACCACTTTTCGCACTTTTTACTCACTGCTTGAAAACAAAATTATGCTTACTGAAACAAAACAATGCTTATTTGAAACAAAACTTATACATTCAGGCAATGCTCCATTTTGTAATGGTACAACTTCTTGCACTTATTGTGTTAAATTATTAATGTGTAATAAAGTACTACTAGAGTTTTGCACTAGGTTGTTAGTTGCCATGTCTGACACTGTGCCAGAATAAGCAAAACAGCTTGATCAGCACAGTTATTCAATTACAAAACCATAATTCAAACTTTTCTAACACACCTTGAAGTGTTTATCACAAATAAAACAAAAGGAAAACATAAAAACTTAAACCAATGCTAAATTAAGAATAACATGCATGTTTTCCTTACCTCTTTTTTCAAATTAAAATATGACTTACTTTTATTTACCTCATAATATCATTTGTGAGGCTTCACATTCTATAACAAAGTCTGGTTCTTTGTTTTTATTGTAGGAAAGTTATTAGTATGTTAGGTAAAATGTAGAAACAATATAATATTAGAATGAATAATTCAAACAGCATAAAAAAAATAATTCTAAAATCTCTAATTCACAAGAAAAACAAGGATTTAAGACACTTAACCTTTTGAACATTGATTAAACATTTGAGCAAGTCAGAAAGAACATTTCTGCATAATATTTTCTTAATTTAACACAAAGAAAACCAACATTGCAAGTAACCAATCATATTGAAAAATAAAAATTATGGATATTTCTGGATTAAATGTTCAAAAGGTTTAGAGTCAGTGAAAATTAAAAGCAATAAGTATAATAACTTATATTAAATGTTTCAATGTGTCAACAAACTCATTTTGATTGCTTTCAAAGGAATAACTTTCAAATATTCAACTCTTCTGTAATTCCTGATCACCATAATTTATGAATAAATTTTACTCTGAATGCATAATAAAACAAAAAACTGCAGGTTTCTTAACTAAAACTTGGGTTAGAGAACAACTCAATCCAATGCTGTTCAAATTTTTTTTTTTTTCGTCTAATATTTGTTTTGAAACGATGAAATGCATTTAATTGGACTAACTTACATGCTATAATAATTGTTTGAATAAAAACTGTAAAAAAGTTCTTTCATTCTTTAAAAATTGCAACCAGCTTTGAAACAACAAAAAGATGAGATATTTTAACGAGAGTGAGAATAATACATTGTCTTTTTTGTTTTTGAATAAACTCATATTTTTAACTAAATAATCTGAAAATATCAATCCTTAGAAGAGTTAACTTTGAATTTTTTAGACATCTAAAGTTTTATTTACGTATTTTTCGAGAACAAAAATCAGAAAATATAAAATTGATAAATAACATTAAAATTAAAACAAACCTCATAATAACAAAGTAAGTAAAAAGTATAGACATTTTAAAGTATCTTAGACAATACATTTTGAACAAAACAGAAAAGATATGTGCCCATATAATTCACAGGGAATATCAGCTGGTCAGGCAAAATTGGCACTGGGAACCATATAAAAGATGCAAGTCTTTAAGTTACAAACTTCTCTATTTAAACTTTTAAAATGCCCAATCCCATAATACATAGTTATAGTAAGAAAGGTTTTTTTAGCCAAACAATTTTAATAAAAGCTTTCTGCTAGCAATGATTTTTAAATGACTCATAAAGGTTTTAAATTTTTTCTGATAAAAGTTAAGGAGTTTGATGCTATACCGATTAAAAGTTAATTGGTAGCATGTCAAGTAATCAGTTTTATTCTAAATTGTTATTTGAAGAAATCTAGTCTATATTTAATTTGTTTGCATTATCCCCCCCCCTTAAAGTAAGAACTATATACCCAGAACTATTATTTAGCATTTTTATTCTCAAATATATGAATCTTAAGGAATTTCAAGAAAACTTAAAAAAAACTGTTTTTATATAAAACTGTGAAAATTTCTAACAAGAGACTTTAAAAATATATTCATTTCATTGTTTTTAAAAAGTCAAATTGAAAAATAAAAAACTGCTTCGCTATTGATCAAAATCCCTACTGCCAATCAAGAAAGCTAGATCACCCATTAATGGCTGACTCCCATGTGTATTTATGTATATTTTATTTTACATTTTATAAACGTCTCTGAACAGCTGACACAATATTAGGTTTACAACTACTAATGATCAACTCCGAAGCCTTATAATTTTTAACCTAATCCAGAAGACAAGGGAACTTCTGGATCAAGTATTGGGATAACTTATCCTTCGTGGAGGTCTTTTTGATGGAATTAACACTCATTTGCGTTACATGGAGAGGAAAACCACGCAAACCTCCCACGGTTAGCCTGACGGCAAGGAGATTCTAACCCAAGATCCATCTAGCACAAAGGAAATTTTACGTCAGCACTGTGGTCAGTGTGAGCCGGGTGCGGAATTCATATCGACCAGCCATTGCTGAGAATCAAACCAGATTCACTTCAATGGAAGGCAAATGCTCTATTCCCTGAGCCACCAGGGCTCGGTATTTATGTATAATAATTAACTTAGGCAGGCTATAACTTAAATTATCATCCCAATCAACCAAATCAATCATTCAAAAGTTCGTCATAACTAGCATATATCATACACCATTTCAGTTCTTGAGTCCTTCAATCAGTAAAAATGGAGCATACATTTTAATCTAACATTTAGTTCCACAGGACGCTCAAACAAAAATATTCATTTACAAAAACTTGTTAATTATTATTGACAAAGTAATGAACGATTTTTACTTACGATTGTTCTTAATCCAGTGTCAGGTGTTTCATGGAAAGGAAGAGAAGGCTGGCTTGTTGAATGATAGCGGCAACTGGAAAATTGAACAACAGGATAAATTTGTTGTGCATGCCTATTATTTTCTGAGTATGCATCCCAGAAGGAGGCTGGAGGACTTGGATTATGATCAGTCATCAGATTACAGCTAAAACAAGCAAATCATTGCCAGAATGTAAACTTACAGAAAATACCATAACTTTGAAGGGGGGGGGGAGTAGCTGGTCAACAAGCAAAAAATTTATATTGCAGTACATTTCTAGCATTACGTCAGAAGTTAATATTTTTGTAAAAATGCTTACGAGGCGAAATCTAAATCATCTAACTGGAAATCAAGGAGCAACATTTAGTTTTTTAAGGTTACATTTACCTCATCTTAAAAAATAGGTAAAACTCTTGTTCACATTTTAGTTATAAATATGTAAAAATTAGCTTTCAAACTTCATAAAAATTTAAGATTAAATTTTGACCACAATTACAAAATATGTGATTACAAAAATGTCTAGATATTTTTTTTATTTTTTTTTTAAATTTAGTCATAATGAATTCACCAATTTTTTTTTTTCAATTTTACTTTACATTTCAATGTAGAAATTAAAGTACATTAAACATTAATTTAATCTTTCCTAGCATTAAATTCTTAAAAATTAGCCAAAGGACAAGATAAAGCAAGCTAGGTATACATTCCAACAGAACACTACAAAATATGAATACCTAAGTGAATACCCAGTTATTGACAGAGATTAAAATGAAGAGTGATTTCTTAAGGTACATTCACAGAACAATTTCCTGCTTGTGCAGTAATGGTTTATAAATTGTATAGCGTTTGTAACTTAATTTTACTTTTAACGTCTGAATAGTATATGATTAGAGCTCCTTGCATAGTATTAGTTAACTATTAATATTATTAATATTAATTATTAATAGCTAATTATTAATATTAGTTAAACAAATTAGTGCTGAACAGTTTTTAAATTGCAGCCAATAAAGATGTTAGTAAATTGCGGAAAAGTAATTTGACCATATGAATAAATACGATTAATCCTAACACTATTTTTGTAACAAATCATTATAATGTATTGGTCATTAATTTGTGAAATCTTAAAAATTGTTAAGATATTTTTTTCAGGAAATCTGAATGGATTAAATTTCTATATTATAATGTTGAAAGTAAGTTATTAAGAATGGTACGGAATGGAAGTTATTAAGAAATACAATTAGATACTGAACTAAATTTTATAAAGAATTTCAAACATTATTAGATACAGAGCAAAATTTTATAATGAATTTCAAATATAATTAGACACAGAACTCAATTCTATAAAGAATTTCAAATATACTTAGATACAAATTATAACTAAATTTTAAAATAGTTATCTTCTTTCTGTTGTTAATGTGTCTTGACTTATTATCGACAGAAGAAAAAAAATTAAATATTAAATTGGTTATAACATTATATGAACAATAAAAGTTATAAATATTATACAAAATTGGGTATTTACCTTACAGAACTGTTTGTAGTTGTCACAGGAGCACGACTCACAGCGGTTGAAGTTGGTGGTGAATCGTCATCGGACTGGGTTAAATCAACAACAATTGGTCGGTCTAATTTACCATTATTCAATGTGCGAGTATTACGAACAGGACCAGACGCACTTGTTTGGGGCACATTACGATTAGACCTAGACCTGATAGTTTTTGTTGCAGCTGACCTGCAAATAAAGACTTATCAGCAATTGTAAAATATATTTCTTCATTTCTTCAAGATTTAAAATTTTAAGTCATAGAACATACACTAGTACTTTGATAAAGAAAGATCTATGGCATAAATAGTAAAACGTAACTAAGTATATATCATGAATTGTATAACAATAATCAAACTTTACACTAGTTTTATTCTAGGGAATTCTTGAACCATACAAACTGTGAAAAAAATGGTCACAGTAAAAAGTGATACAACCTGTCATTATTCCCTGACAATTTGCAGACTTTTACACCAAAAATTACATTTCTTGACAATTCCAGCTTTCCCAAACATAGTAAGAATAATGTGTCAACTAAAATTGTAATAGTTTTATTCAACAACTTCAACAAAAATATATTTATTTTTATTTATATATATAATTATTTATTTCACTCATTAGCTCACCATTGGAAACTGAATATTATTAGCTTGTAAGTTTTGTCTTATTTTAAATCGGAAAACGATATTTTTCCAAGAGTTGTGAGTTGACAAATATTAAAAATGGGAGTCATAGTTTTAGACCATAAGTGGATGATTAATTAAATATGCAAAGATGCGCAACACAGAAAGTTTGCAATCTATGTCAACAGATGTACTATTTACATCTCTGCATGTTTTTGACATGTTTTCTCTGCATGTTTTTGACAGGTTTTCACTGCACGTTTTTGGTGTGACTTCTATAGAAAAAATTCTTGAATTTCAGAGAGAAGATATAGAGAAACTTTTCATGCATTTAAAACCAAACCTCTTTAATGAACAAGTGAATGTTTAGTTGGCAGAGTGGGTAAAATCCAATTTAATATTTACTTCACTTATATTGACTCAGATACTGGAGAAAAATACAGATATTTACAAATACTCCCTTTTTAGATCCAATCAACCTCAACTAAATGCTAATTTTTAACATAGGTGTAAATCAAAAAAGTACCTTCACTTGCCGAAGTTGCATGTATTCCAGATATCTAATAAATGCATCAATGTAGTTTGATTATTAAAAATTTGGATGAGTTTTTCTTTATCTTTATTTCCTGTAGTCCAGTTTCTCCAGTTTCTTATTTTGATTTTTAAATTGATTGTTATTAAATACTTTATTTTTCTTACCACATGGAAAATTTGCTAATTGATGGATATATATTTCTTAATGTAATGTTTAATCATCTTAATGTAATGTTTTATCAATCCCATGGCACAGTAATAAAATTATTACAGTCTGAGATCAGGAAATTATTCCCTAAGCATTTGAATTTTTTATGCATGCTTTTTAACAGGTGCTAAGATGAAGAATTCTTAAATAAATGGTAAATTATCTTAACTTAGAAAGATTATTTTTAATTTACAATTTCAAAGGTTTAGGATTATATTATAAGTTTAAAAACAATTACTATAGAAATTAATAGTTTAATTGATATTTAAACTAAACCACTCAATTATAATTCAAAATCAATTATAATTCAAACTTAGAGTTTGAATTTTTATTGAGTATTATAAATGTACTATTGCTAGTTAATGATTTAATTTTTGGAGTTGCAGGCTGTACTAACCATTTACTGGTAGTCTTTCATTTTAATCAATGAGTTAATAATAAAATATTCATCACAAAAATTATCCTGTCAATAAAATTTTAAATAAAAATAAGTTTAAAAAAAACCAACATGCAACGGAAATTACAACAATAACAAAGATTTAGATAAATCATATGAATAACGAGATTATCGAGCCACTATTAGGAAATATCTGTATAGGAAAAGAAATCTTACATTATTTTCTCAGAAACTCTTTTCATAAAGACTTTGAATATATATCAAAGAACAATAAATTTAAAATATTGTTAAAATGAATATATGTTTCATGATGTTAAGATACAACATAAAATTTATTAAGACCTTGATAATTCGGTCTTGACTCATTTCTTTAAAAAAATCTATCGTAGTTTTTATGAAAGACTTAAACTTAAAATATATTTATAGACCGAATAGGAGTATGTTCTATATAAAATATCAAAATTAATATCAATGAATGCACATTATATAAAGAGTATGTTTGATGCACAAGTTCATGTGTACGTACATATACAAGACCCATTTCTAACGCTTAATTGAACACATTCAGTTTTTTATTCCCATTACTCTGGCATATTTGTACAAATAATAATAATACATTTAAGAGCTTTAAATAAAATTAACAAACATTTTAAAATACATTCATTTTTTTAAAAAATGTATTTAAAATATGCAATAAAAGAAAACTTTAAAAAAGACTATGCATCGTAAAATAATTATTAGTACTATGAGACATAGCATAAAAAATATAATTCTTTTACACTTTTCTTTATCTTTGATTAAAAAGTAAATTAAAGACCAAAAAAAAATTTCAATTGTAACTCTAAATTCCAAAGTGATGTTTTATCAACAAAAAAAATTCTCTCGTTTTTAAAAAATTAACAAAACATAACATTAAATAGTTAAGAATAAATGACAAGAATCCACACTGTCATTCTCCAAAGTCACTCCACCCCAGCTTTAGTCTTGCATTCACTCTTTGAGAATATTGCATGAAACTTATAGCCCTCCATACGCTTTGGAAAATCTAGAACTCATGCTTTCAAATATCTAACAAGCGGGTTTTCTGCTGCAAGCTGTTTTGAGCATTTTTAATTAAACTTATATGACTTAGAGAAATTTAAACAAAAAGAAAGTTTAAAAAAAAAAACTAAAAATACATTCTAAAAACAAACCATATGTTTAAAAAAAAGGAAATTAATAATTTTGAGTATATAAAATCCGAATCTCGTCCTAACTTGACGCTCTAGCTGATCGTCTATCTTGCACGCCAAACAGTGGTAAGTAACACAGGAGTTGGTGAGCAATGGCAGACAGGACCAATTGCAATAAGTGAGGGTACACATTGGTTTAATAAAGCTTAATAATTTATAATCTTCTCCTGGTACAAAAGCCCTGGGTGGGCTTTGTTTTACTCTAGGAGGATACCACCACAGATACTTTGCAGTACCCTTCTTACAAAAATTGCAATTGCCTCCTCATCTTTTTAAGTCCATGCCCTGGTCACAGAAACAAAATTCAAGACCGTTGTTATAAGAGTTTTACATAACAGTAATTTAGTTCTTAACTTTAGGGTCATATGCTTTTATTATTGTTTTTTCAGGATCGTATAAGGGTATTAGCCACCAGAGAAACAAGTCTCTCAAGATTAAATTAATGATTTTAATATTAACTAAAGGGTTACAGGCTCATATTGAAACTCTTAATACATTTATTAGTTCACTACAATTTTAATAGTAAAAAATTTATCTCCCCTATTCTTGTTTCGAAAAAAATTAATTTAAAATTTTTTTTTAAATTTAAGTAATTGCTTACATCATATCACTTGTACACTGGTTAGTTACTTGCTTATATGAATTTAAATACTATATTATATATTATATTGCCAATATTAGTACCAATATGAAATAACATATATTCACGTAAGTCATAAATAAATAAATAACAAATCACTACAGCCAACCAATAAATAAACAGATAAGCCTGCAAATAAACAAGGGTTGGCAGGCATTAAATTCATTTCCATGCCCTATCAAAAACTGATTTTAGCAATTAAAAGCTCAAACCTGAATGTAATTGAAAGTAGAATAATTTAACAACTTCATAGAAGCACAGCAATAAAGAAAAAAAAGTTTAAAATATTTTTTTCTCCCATATCCAATAATGTGATTATGTATCTTTCAGCATTTTGCAGCCAGCAATTTTATTTTCTTGCTAAATTTTCGTACAACTAAAAGCCGTAATTTTTAAATTTTATTGAAACAAAGTTTTACACATTAAGCAATAATTTTATAAGCCTTAAATTCTAACTAGAAATCAATGTTATTAACTTACCTAAAATTAGCATCTACCAACTTTCGAAGAAAAAAAAAATTTAATTTTTGAAGCGAATCTAGTTTAAATTTATGAAAAATGTCTATTTTAAGTAAGTCGGAACTGACTTGAAAAAAGTTTTTCTAATAAGTGCTATTTTTTGGGTTATAGTGCATTGGTATAGAATTTATGCTTTGGTGCAACAATATAAATTTGGGGCATTAACCACATCACTAAGTTACAAGCTAAATTTACCAACCTAGCAGGCTCAACTCCAACTACTTCTACGCTGCTATCATCATCTTCATCAGTAAAGAGACAATCTAACTGAAGATCTGGTGCAACAGGCCAATCATTGTCTTTGACTTTATTGCTACAACTTTTGGCTTGAAATCTCTCACTACTGTGGCTAGATGATGGCTCTAGAATAAACAAAAGAAATGAATTATTAAATCAACATCTTTTTCAATATAAATAAAAAATTAATCTACACTGATAAATAAATAAAAACTTTCAAAGTTTAGTTTAGGTAACTTATCTAATACATAGACATGAAATCCAAAGTATGCTTAGAGGTTGCATTGAATTCTTAAGAGTTATAGTATCTCTTAATTCAAGACATTCTTTATGGTAAAAGATGAAATAAGATAGTAAAAGATGAATATTTCGAGTAAAAGATGAAATATTTTTTTAACATATAATAAATATGAAATATAAAAAATAATTACTGTAAAAAAATTAATATACAAGTTAAATTTAAATACATTTTAAGAACAAAAGCTTGAAATCAATATGTTGGCTTCTAAGAGTTAAAATACTCTCAATATTTAGGGGAAATGTTTTCCTGTTTCTATACTTCCCAAATATGGAATGCATAATTTATTAAACAAGTAAGAAATGTGATTAGATCCACTTTTGCAGTGAAAATTTTATCTTCAATACATTGAGATGCAACAAAAATTTCAATAGAGTAATAATGCTTTTTAACTGACTTTATAGAATAAAAAGCTAGAGTAATTACAAAAAGCCATATATATAACAATCATATTTATAACTTAAAATGTGAATGAGAGTTTTGCGAATGAGACTTTGCATGCGAGTTTTTTTTAAGATAAGGTAAATGAAATGTAAAGATTTATGACATACACATTTTTAAGGATAAATTCTTAACATATTATAGAATTTTTCTTTTTTTTTTCATTATATCTTGTAGTTTATAATCAATATTTACCAATTTAAATTTCTGAAAAAAGATACCCTTAATGAGTAAACCACAACATTAAAATTTGAAGTAAATGTTTTTAAAATTTCATATAAAATAGGCACTTAAATAGTTTAAAATGTTAAAGAATAATTTATTAACTCATTAGGAAGGACCTAAAAAAAAATTTAAAAAAAAAAAAATTTAAAAAAATCTAGACTTAAGTAATAATTTATTGAGGAGGCATGACAGTTTCAAGAGCTTTCAGTATTAAAAAAAATAAATGTTAATTCTTTTATGGATTAATTTCACATAAACTCACACTAATATATGATTTATGCTAAGAATAGTTTAGTAATTTCTTACACCTCCCTGAAACAGAGTAGTACAAAAATATTATATACAACAAGTATCATAATTCAAAGACCAAAAAATTACTGCTTTAGCTTTTGTTAAGAACAATGTATACGAAAATGTTTTATAGATATTAAAGATATTAAAATAGTTACTATTTTACCAGAAAACTACACAATCATGCAATGGAAAAATCAATGTAAGCAACAAAAAATTCAAAATAGAGATTATATATTAGGCATTTTTGCTTGATAACTACTAATTGCATATATAAAAAATAAAAAAAGTTTTCTTAAAAATAATCTTTTTAAACAGTTTTCTGAAATTTTATTTTAGTGTTCATAATTTCAACAAGGGAAAGAAAATAGTTGTCGAGCTGTTTTTCTCATAATCTATCAAGAAGCACTTAGGCCCTGTGGCAGAATTTTTTCAAGCTATCTGCGACTAAACTGTCTAGCACTAATATTTTCTGCAAGATACTTTTAATAATAACAAACATACACACTACTAATATAATAAAACAAAAGAGCTGTGTTTCCAAAATAACTATAATTTTTTTTTAATTGAACATGTAATAATTTTTTATTATGGGTGATATTCTTCCATTTTGTTGGGGGGGGGTCGCACAAATTATTACCTTCTTCGCATTTTGTAAACAATCATCACAATTTAAAAAAAAAAAAAAAAATCATGTAATCTGCCATTGAAAAAAAAAATTGACGACAGAATAACGCGAATTGGACTCCTTAAAAAGGGGTTACTCAAATGCATAATAAATAATTGTAATATCATATATAAAATATTGGATTTAAAAACTATTGAGAAATCAATAACTGCCAAAAATTAGATAGAATCATTGCCTTAAAAAGTAAATACTCAAATGCAAGATTCAAATTTTCCATATAGTGTGAAATATATCATGATATTCAAAAACCACGTGAAAATCAATATCAATAACTGCCGAAAATACAGTATATTACATTACATTGATTTACGATACTATCTGCGTAAATTAAGTGTGTCAAAAGTATTTATCTACATGTCAAAAGTATTAATATTACATGTAAATTTCTGTAGAAAAGAAAACTAAAAAATTTTACTTTTCACAAGAAAAATTTTTCTGCAAGAACTCTAACATTCTGCGACAATGTCGTGTCGCTGCAATTCTGCCACGGGCACTTACGTTTTTTCAAGTGCACAAAGTGATACAATCAGTTTATAAAATATTTGCATGATTACTTAGGTTTTTTTAAGTTACAAAATAAATAATTTTAATAACAATTTAAGAACACAAAATATGATCTAGTGGCTTATTATAGTTAATTCAATAATTTAAACAATGCAAATCAAATTATCAAAAATTTCCGAAATAAATGGAAAATATACAGTTAATAGATTATAAGACCACTAATTTTAAAAGAATAAAAAATATAAAACTAATATGACAGTGGACCTAAATTTTTTTATTTATATTTCAAATACAATAAGCGATTATCCGGAGCAATCAGATCCAAAGCTGAGCCAGATAAATAAAAATCTGGATAATGGAACAACTTAAAACAGTTATGAGAATGTTATTAAGTAACTTCTTCATGTTTTGTAAAGAATAAAGTCATTAATACTTTTGAACACTGAGAAAATTAAGGTGTATCACTAAGCTTTCAATGAGAAAATTTTTCATATGATTTCAAGAATATTATTTTCAATCATGTTTTACAATATACAAACAAGACAATGAGAGAGTTGCTTAATAAGGAGTCAGCATGCCCCAAATACTTAAAACATTATCATGCACAAAGAATTGAAAAAGTGCAATCAGTTTAGATGCCAAGTACGGACATCCCAACGTTTTTCTCTTTTATAAAAAAATAAAATATTAAACAATTTAGTGTTATAAAATATTTCAATAACAAACTTTCATTTGTAATGGAAAATATTATAGTTATTTGCAAATTGCATTTTTTATTGTAATATTTTCTTTAAATGAATTGGAAAATTTGGAATCTAATTGGTGCAATTCAAGCAGACCAGCCTAACTCAATGCTGCACGAATGGTAAATGATGTGAAAATGATTCTAAAAATGATGAATTATTATTATTTGTTAAGTATTATTGTTATGGTACCTGAATTGCTTACATAATCAGTTTCTTTTTTTTTTTTTCTTCTTCTTTAATGTAATGATTTCAAATATTGAACTTTTATTTTTACCTAATAAAGCATTATGATGTCATATAAACTGGATTGTTTGATAAGTCTGTAGTCCTGCGAATGTTTACACATTGTTCGGGAAAAACTACATTATTATATTAACTACAACTACTTTAGTACAAATGTAGTTACAACTACTTTTTTAAATGAAGTAACTGCAAATTAGTTTTGAAATGTAGTCATTACTTCACTATTTTAAGGCACTATACACTATTTTTCCAGTTTATTTCACTATTTTTCTATTTTATTTTACAATTTCTACTTTGCATTAAAACATTGTATACACATGTTAAAATGGTTTTGAATAAAAAAATTGGCTACTTTAAACATGAGGAATTAAGAAACATTTATTCTTGTTTACATGAGCAAGTTAGTTATTCTGAACAATTTTTTTATAGATCTATTCTTTTAACCATCAACTCTTTATGCTATACTTTTCTTGACAATAAATATTTAATTAACACTACATCGGGCATGTGTCGAAACTTACATCATCGGGAGCGGTGTATCTGTCAGATACATCTCTGTTTTATGTGTTTTTCTGTTAATATGTACAACTTTATTCTCTTTATTATTTTTGTTCTCTTTAGGTCCAGGCTTTTACACCTGGACCTTTTTTTAGTTTTATATATATTTATTTTTATTTTTTATACATATTTTTTATATACATATATTTTAATTTTTTATATTAAAATGCTTTTATTTCAATATTATCTGTTAGTCTCACATCTCTTTCTCTACTATATAGACTAGAAACTGTAGAAATGCATTTTTTAGTGCATTTCACAACTATTTCCGATAATTCGTCAGAAAAAAACAGTTCCAAGAGCCATATATAGTTTTTATATCCTTCGTACCTCTGATTACTCCATGTAATTTTGTGATAATATTCTGAGATCTAACTTTCACATTTTTTCTTCCTATCCATTTTGCCCATTTAGTACTATTGGCCTTTCCTGTATAAAATTCATCATTATAAGTGTCATCTTCAAGTTTTAAGTCGGTATGAACACTCTTCATGCTATCAGAATCAACTTCACATGTTTCTAAAATATCTTCTTCTTCATCATGAAATTCTTCAGTATTTAACTCCTCAGTTCCATCACTAAATATAATACTATGAACTAGCTCAATGTCTTTTCGATTATTCAAATCTAAAAGGCGTTCAGCACTCATCACACAGCACAAACGCACAGGGAATCTCAATACTTCCGTAAAGCTTCAAGAGATAAACGTTAACGGGCGTCTGTATCTAACAGATGCAAAACTTCATCCAAGCTTCAAAATAGAAAATGCTCTTACACGAAACTGTTCATTACTTCATTTCAAGGTACCAGGTGGTCACATGGACAGATACTTGTAAGGTAAAGGTTGTAAGAAAAAATTTTAAGGGACAAAAGTATAGACATTGACACGCCTGTATCAGTCAGATCAACGCGCCCAATGGAGCGTTAAAAAATTTGAAGAATATATCAAATATTTACAATTTTATTTTATTTTCTCTTAAGAGCAGAGATGGCGAACCATTATCGATAAGTGTACTTGTTAAATTACGATTATTTTGGGGTCCAGTGTGGTATTTTTTTTTTTTTTTAGTTCTTTTTAAAACAAAACAAAAATTAAATCAATAAATAACAATCGGCAAGCCACTGCTTGGATTTCAAACCATCGAATTACATTATGTAACTGTATATGCTGTTTAATTATTTACTTGCTTTAAATCTGAAAAAGGCAGTTTTTTTACAATAGGTAAGTAGAATTCATTTATTAAAAACACCTACTCACAACATTCTTCAAATTTACTAAATTATAATTGTATTTATAATTTGGATTCTCCAGGGTGCAAGGCCAAATTTTTCAACAAAAAAAGCAGCTTTTAAGCTCACAAAAAATATTTTTAAACACTTTGGGGAAAAAAACATAATTTTGATTATGATAAAATAACCATTTTCTGACAAAGAACTCTTTTCTTGATTATATTAGCAACCATAACAATATAATACAACATAACCATAATAAAATTAATAATACTGAAATATTTAAATTAATTAATCAAAATATATTAAAAAGTTTAAAAAAAACCAACAAATTAGTATCAGATATTTAAAATTTACAATTTGTAACAATGATATAGATCAGTGATTTAAAGCTAAAAATTTAAAAACAAACTTTAAATATTTCATAGTAAAAAATATTGCAAATGATGAGTAGAAGTTGAGAATAATCGTTGAAGTTCATAATATATACTAAATTAGTATTATAAACTTAACTTACCATTACTGACTTCAATGATAACACTTTAACTATTGTTAACATTGTAACCATGATTATTACAATCATGCATATTAATGAACTAAAGATGAAATATATTATCCCTTCACTATAATAGACCTAATCTTAATCTATTTTTTAATATAGTAAATGATAAGAAGTTAGCAATATACAATTGTAGAAGTTCATAATATATACTGAACTAGTAATTAGAACTTAACTTACCATTACTGACTTCAGTGACCATATCTACATTATTATTAGGATGCCAAAGATCTATGTATGTATGATCATGGTTCGTATGATTCTCTTGTGCCTGAGCATTTGTTCTCAAGCTTACAATATCAATGTCACTATCACTATCAGTTGTGTCCACAATTAAATCTGGAGTGCCGGATTCAAACAGAAACAATCGATTTTCACTATTCACATATCCCATGGCCCCACTGCCAACTGTGCCATCTGCATCAATAGCAATATCTTCCTGTATCATTGGTGCCACACTCATTGCAGATGAATTTTGAAAATCAGAATCACTGTTCATTTCACATTGAACAGCCCTGTCTGAAAAAGTGGAGTTGTCGGCATAGACTAAAGTACATACACTAGCTTGCAAATTTTCTTCTAAGGTCTTAACACTATTGATTTTTTTCTTAGAAGGAGGTGTCTGTATGGAGGGGTCAAAAAGTTTTTCGCTAGTGCTGGGGTTATTGATGTCCACGGTATGTATTCCAATCTTAGTTGCCTTCATTCCTGTTGTCTAAAAAAAAGAAAAAAAGGAAAGCAAAACATAAGTAAATGGAAGAAAGGGAGTAAAAAGCTTATCAAAACTAAATATAAGTCAATTAAGAGGTTAAAACAAGGTTTTAAAAAAAGCAAATTAATTTTAAAAGTAAAACTATAAAATGTATTTAAAATGGATAAGGGAGAAAATTGCAAATCAAGATTTGAACATAAAGTAGCAGCTAAAATAAAGGTTATGATTTTATGGGTTCTTTTCCTTGAGGTCTATTTTGTTATGTTAACCGCGTAAAACATCTATCATAGAGCAAGATAATTTATATCCCAGTTGGTCAACATGGACAATATCTCTCCCAGCATGGTCAATATCTCTTTCAGCTTCCATACCATACAAACAAAAGAAGTTTCAAGCAAATGGATACAGAGTTAATATGCACCTGATAACTAAAAAAAGTGCAAAAAAAACAAAAAAAATTGTTAGACAAAGGACGCAGAACACACAATGATATTCTGCTATCAATGAAATGTATGTGTGCTATACCTGAAGAAAATTTATTTCTTTCAAGTTTCAAAAAAAAGAAGAAAAAAAAAGCCTATTAATACTTCAAAAGGTTTAAACAAAGTTTAGAATTAAACATTGACTTTTTGATTATGAGAGAAAAGAAGGATCTTCACAATTACTAATTTTCAACAATAAATATGAACATATAACAAATATTAATACATGATTTTTATTCGTTATATTTTAACAAAAAGGGAAAAAAATAATTTAATCAGGGATCTAAATAAAATTTAGACATCATTTAAAACATAAAGCAATCTAACATCATTACGAAAGGGAAAACCATTTTTCTTATCTGAAGAAATTAGATTATTTCCTTTTATTGTCAGTAGTATTGAAAATACTAGTGACTGAAACAAATCATGGAAGGAAAAGAAACTCTGAGTTATTGAAATCATCTTCAATTCTATCAACATGCATAAGTTTCTTTTAATGTCCACAATTGTGATTTGGAATGCCAACCTCTGGAGACAACTTTGCAATGATAAAACTATTTTTCTTGGCAAGTACAGTCGAACTCACAACGAGGGTGAAGGGACCGTAATATTCATACATTATAACAGAGTGCTCATAAAACACAGGTTCATAAGAAAATTGAAAAAGCTCATGTACACTTATGAAATTATAAACAAAATTCATTCATAAATTTTTTTACAAAAGTAGTTAGTTAATTTGCTTTGAACATTCTTAGTATCTCTTTGTTGTGTTATTGTTCTTTGGATAAAACCTATGACCCAAATTATTTGAAACTCTACTTTTGAAAACAACCATGTGTTCGCTGGGTTACTTACTTATTCTAACAGTGTTTTCACTACACCGCAAGAACGCGAGAATCTCGCTTATTTTTTTTTCTCTCTTTAAAAAATTATTACAGCGAGAAATTCGCGCATTCTATAAATCAATTTCAAAATTCGAGAATTTCTTGCATTTTGGAAAAAGCTTCGCATTACGCTATTTAGAATAAAATCCGTTTCACTTTTCTTCCTGGATCTTTCATTATTTTCAACATCTATCCCATTATCTAACTTCCCTATTTACCAGTATTGTTTAGAACCTTTTCGAACAACAGTACACTACCCTTCCGAATCATGGAACCCATTTCAGAACAGATTTCTCTGCAACCACATGTTTACCGTAGGTAAGGTTTCCTCATGTAAGACATTTAAAATTTTTATGCACTAATGTAAGATGGACAAATACCTTGTAAGAGTAAAATCTTTTATGATGATGCAGCAAAAATATTCAATGCTTTAAAAAATAGAAGATGTTAAAAATGTATTATAATTAAAGAAATTATTTTTTTTTAAAAGTCTATTTGTGTTTTTTTAGTTTTCAGAAATCTCACTTAACTTTTTGAAATCGGACCCTGTTTTTGAGAAAGGGTGAGAAATTCTCACCTATTTTTTTTCTATGATGATAACACTGTCTAACGTTCATTAGTTTTTAGAATGTTAAACGAATTTTATCAAGATGGAATTAGCTATGCTGGAGAGGAGAAAGTATATAAAAACTATATATGAATCACAAAATATTGCCCACTAAAACTGGGATTTGCTTGTGAAAAGCAAACTATGCTTCAATGAAATTAACATTGTACCAACTAAGTATTTTCAATTTGTTCATTAAACTTGTATTCTGGTTAAATCAGGACTTGTGATAGGCGAGTTCAAATTATCATTTTTAGTAATAGCTTTCTTATAAACTTTCAAACTGAAATAAGTCTTATTATAAACCAGCAAAAAAAAAATTATTTTGCTGGCAAGGTGAGTTTGAAATTAATTGCAGTTGAATGCTACAACCGTCTAAAGAGGGTAACCCTCCTTGGAGAGGTTGGTACAAGAGCAATTCAGCCTAGAAAATAAAATATCTTTGTTTCATTGAAATAAACCACTAAATGATATTTCTAGGAAATAATATCATCTTGACTAGAATGTGCACAACACTCTGCATTAACTTATATTCACATGTTAATATTGACTTGCTTGGTAAGTTGATTCATTAAAAAGAATTTAATTTTTAAAATACAAAAAAAATACTAAAAAAAAAACATTTTTAAATATTTTGAAACTGTAAATTATTCCACACATGTTGGTTTATTCTTTATCAAAAGTTTTTATAAAGAACAAAAATTGAAACAAGAACTTTGCAACTATGATGTGAACAAAAAAAAAACTGACCAAGAATACTATTGGTAATATATTTAAGACAATGACTAATGATAAATAGATTACTAGTAAGAAAATATGAATGTAGAGCCTCTGTAATTTAAGCACATGAGAAAGAAAGGGTCACATGCCATATTACACGCCAGAAACATCACTCATTTATTCACCACAATACGGCATTTAATGTACAGTATGTAGAAAATTAATCTTCCAATATGTCATACTTCAATTTCAGGTACTCTTGATTAATGTAGATTACACATCAACTTAAATATGACGTGTAATTGTGACATACTAATGAATACATTATATTAATTTACTTTATTTCTTTACGAACTAGCAATATTGTCAATTGTTTAAAATATTTTATTTTCAAATTGAAAACATTAACTACAGAAAATAAATAAGTTATAACTTGGAGTCAGTAAAACTTTGTAAAAGAATCCATAAAAATAATAATTCCATAAATCTTTAAAAATAATTCTCAAACGGAAAAAATAAGAAAGCTTTATCTTGTTAAGTATGATGCACATGGATATCTAGTTATATTACTGGTGTTACGATTAGTCATTTTTTAATGTAATTTGGAAAAGAGATAGAAAAAGTAAACATAAAAGAATTTAAATTGTGAAAAACATTTACAACAAAAGCAAAAAAGTCAAAATATTTTAGAAATACATAATGTATATCAGTTTCTTATTTATCAAATAATACAGAAAAATAAGCTTTAAAAAAATCTGTAATTGATTCTAGTGTTCACTTTTGAATGTGTTTAGAAAATATAAAATACTACTTATTTCTGAGAGTTAAGATTTACAATAAGCAAAAATTTCATTTTTTATGCCAAGTTCAAGTAATAATAAATGTTGTATAGAAAATAGAAGAAATGTGAATTAATTTTAAATAATTTCGTAATTTGATATTTATATAAGAACCAGTTATCATTCAAAATAAAATTAAAATGCTAAAACTGAGTTTAAGATAGAGCAAGTTTTATAACATTTTTACCAACCAAAACTAATATGCAAAATATTTTAAAAAATATAACAAATTATAAAACAAATTAAAAGCATTAAAACAATAATTAAACAAAAATAAAAAGCAACTTTTTAAGACCTGCCTACCTCTAATGCTAAGTAAATCATTGTCAAAAATTTGCCAGAACATTCTTTATGTTTAAATTTTCACTGATCCAAAATTAAAGACGAAAACCTAAAAATAAGTTTAAATACAAATAAAAACCAAGGAATAAGGAAAAATAAAATAATATAACGAAAAAACTAAAAAAAAATTTAAACAATTATAAGAGCTAAATCATTGTTTTAAAAAAAGCAAGAAATATAATAAAAATCATGAAATAGATCAGTAATAAAATTTTTTTTTTTTTACTTGTATTTATTTAGAATACAAAAACTTAGGAACAATCACAAAAACTTAGGAAAACTTTATGTATGTTATGAGATTTAAAAAATAATTTTGAAAGTTTAAAATATAAATTAAGTTTTGGAGTTACACCTTTTATATTTTATGTAAACATTTTAATTGAATCTGATACGAAGAAATATTTTTAAATGTTATTTTAATGCAAAACTTACTTCAAAAGTTAAATTCATTAAATATTTTGCTATTAAAATGCCTTAAAAATATCAAGATTTAAAACTAAAATATTAAAAAATGTTATGTTTAAAAAAAAAAAAAAAGGAAAAAAGAAATTTTCAAATAAATAATTAGAAAAACCAAAAATGAAACTTTTATAGCCTCATATGCCAATCCCAACTAAAATATATCATAATTGCTAGCTCAGTGTGTTTCCTAAAATAAGTCAATATTAAAATTTTGCAAGCTTTGCCATAGTGGAACAAAAGATTTCTTCCTAAATTTTTCTCAATAAAGAAACATATAGAAAATTGTTTATTGTGGCAATTCAATGTTAAAAGAAAGGGATGCTTATTGCAGCAATCTTAAAATGTGATATAAATATTCAAAAGAGTAGAATAACTATAAATAAATAAAGTATAATGAAAATATAAATAAAATTTGCATAATCTTACATTAAAGTCACAATAGAAAAATATTAGTATGGGCTAGATTAATATTAGTAAATTTTAAAAACCTGGTCATTAACATTAAATGTGAGAATAAAGAAATTCTTATCTCAAATTCCATCTTTAAAGTTTTAAAAATGAAAAAATACGTACAGATTTTACACATTAGGACATAGCACTTAAAATCATATAAAAGCAGAACCAATAAAATAAATATAATCATCTTATCTCATCAAAAACCATTTATATTTACTAATAATTTCATTTTGCAATGAAATTTTAACTTCATTATGATAATGCTATCCCATGAAAACATTCAATTAAAAACTTACATTCAAATAAAATGTATAAATATATGGTGTATTTTGTCTTGATTACTTTTTGAGTAGAAAATTTCTATTAAATACACAGTTTGATGCTGTTATTTAATGAAATTCATTACAAGATATGAGGAGTTTCTTGAAACATTAAAAACAATTTTATATTGGGATACTAAAATAGCACAAATACAAACAGTTACATTGAAATCAATTTCATCGCAGCTGTTGTAAAAATCAACATTAATATCACAATAAAGTATATTTTTAAAATTCCAATTAAAATACCAAACAAAACTTCTTATACTTAAAAAATAATTTTTTGACGATTTTCACTGAACATAAAAACCGAACAGTTTATAAACAGAATGAAAAGAAAAATTAACCTGTGAATAAGATTACAACAACTTACGTATTTTATAAAAGTATTATCAGCAAGTGTGAGGCATATGTTTACAAACTTATTTCCACCATTGAAATCAATTAGGATGTATACAGACTCAGAGCGACTGCGGGAAGATTGATAAACATTTGACTTTATAAACAATTATGAAAAATCAATGATAACAACTAAATAGCTAAATTAAACATTTTAAATCATTAAAAACGTAGATAATATAGAACAACTTATCGAAGTCTTCGTACTATATATTAAATACGTAGATTAATTCCTGAATTTTCCCTATTATACAAGACGCCAACAATATCAATAGGTCATAAGACTTTCATAATTACATCATAATTAAATTAATATTTCAATACAATATATAGCCGCAAGACTTGTGTTTACATAAAACAATAATCAAATCCTTAATACTTACTTATTTAGTACCACATCAAATTTAGAAAATAATTTAGATAAGATTTGGTCATCATCATCCGCCATAACTGTTTTGGAAAGCTTCTTCTTCTTCACCACTAGGTCAATTTGTAAGTGACAGGTGAAATCATTTCAACTCGAGCGTAAAATCTTTACTAACAATTTACTTACAAAATTACATGTTGAATTAAAGTTTTTTTTAAATGACATTTGCATGGTACAGAAAAATCATTCCTGAAAACTAAAAAAAAAAAAAAAATATTTTTTAATATATTTAAAACCGAAACTATCTATACATCATCATCATCAACAACAACCGTTGAAAAAAAACTAGAAAAACTCCGTTCGTAAATGCAGCTGCTGTGCTAAAATCTGTGACCAAAGACTCAACACAAGCTAAAAGCTAATTCAACACCAAAAAAAGAATATTCCATTTGTTTTATTCTTTCATGGAGCTTTCTCACTACATGTGTACAAATCGCGCATGCTCGAGTAGTTCGTTTTGTAAGTAATTTCCAATTACTCGCAAGCTTTCATGCACTTCCAATCACCTTAATGAGTTTTTTGCAAGAAAATATTTTTAACCAATCTAGCCCTCATTCAACGTGTGTGCGGTATTGGTCGTCGTTAAACTGTGCCACCGTAAAGTGCTCGACTTCGCGAGCAGGTCGTTGGGCTACCGAAGCGGGGGTGCCATCCCCTCCGCAGAGGATCAAAATTGTGATGGCATGTCTTCGGATCATCCTCCGGGATGTTTCATAGACCGTCGCCCATAGCCCATTGTGCAGCTCTAGTGCGACGTAAATTAACAACAGCAACAACAACGTCGCACTAGAGCATCACAATTTTGATCTTCTGCGGAGGGGATGGCACCCCCGCTTCGGTAGCCCGACGACCTGCGCGCGAAGTCGAGCACTTTACGGTAACACAGTTTAACGAGGACCAATACCGCACACCCTCGGTCCCTACGCATACTGATCCAAGTGGTCACCCACCCGCACTCTGACCGCAGCCAGTGATGCTTGGCTTCGGTGATCTGCTGGGAACCGTGTCTTAACGTTCAGTCCACTGCAGGACTCTAGTGAGACGTAAATGAACTACAACATCAACGTGTGTGATCTTCCCTCTAGAATGATCTCGCTAACTGCTATGTTTCTTTTTAAAAAAACTATGCTCAATTTTACCATTGGCGATCGAAATGGGCAACAGATAGCGCAGAGCAGAATTCTCTACCTATGGCAACACTTCACATGCTTTGACCATTAGAGTGTGGACAGTCACAGAGGAAGGAAGAACGTTAGTTTCTGTTATTATTTTCAAATAGATTAAGAGTTTTAGCATATGAAACTGTTAAGAATTCATCATTATTAATATATGATATTAATTCAACATTATTTATAAATCGTTTGAATAAGGAATGGCCGACGTGTCTATTTCTAAAAAAAAATTTGTGCACGAAAAGTTCGACCTGATAAAATGGTCATAACGCAATTCGCTTACGCGATAGTACGCTCTTACGATTCCTATGTTTCCCAGCAGATGCTCCTTCACTCGTAATTTTTCTAAGTATTCGATCGTTTGCGAAAGGGACAACAATATAATGAAGATATTTCCTGTTCAAAAGTTGAAAACATTTGACACTACTCAGTCATCTAATGAGAATGGAGAGTGGAGTCCCCCGTTCCAAGAAAAAGAAATTAATCTCGGACTGCCTTGTCGCTCATGTGAATCTTTAAGAACTTCATAGGTTAAAGAAACTGATCACACATGTACAAACTTCGTGTGCGTGCAACTGCATTCACGAATCGGATGCAATAAGAATTTGTATTGACTTGGTTGGGGATTCGATACCCCGTGCTAAAATCTTGTTAATGGTTCCAAAGCTGGAAATATCCTCGTATGGATGGGGAGCTAAGTACAAAGATCGTCCGCTCTTCCATCTATCGATTGTTATACTGTAGTGAACGCATGCTCAAATATAGCTTTCGGATTGTCACTGCCTGAATAAATAAACAGTGATGATCCATGGTTTTTGCCTGTACTCTGTTAGTGCAATGCCGGATTACTCATTAGGCCATGGCCTGGGGCCCCCAATGATTAGGGGTCCCCTTAAAATGGATTTTTTGAAAATAAATTTTAAAAAATTAAGAAAAACAATGATTTAAAAAAAATTAAATATATATTAATAAAATACGATATTTTTTTCACATAATGTTAATCATATTACTTTCTTAAATGAAAAGACATATAAATACTTTTATATTTCAATAAATAAAAAATAACATGATTGAGAGATTGAAAGTATGCTTCATCAATCAAGTTCTCATTCGCATCTCCGAATTCACGTGCAAAGGGAATGAGGAAATAAATGAAAATCGATACTGCCATTTCTCTTTCTAAAGATTTTCTCGTTAGGACATCACATTCTTGTTATTAATATGTAAATTTTACCTTGAAATAGGTAGGTTACTAAAACTATTTCATTTCCCAGCAGATCACCGAAGTCAAGCATCACTGGCTACGGTCAGTGTGCGGGTGGGTGACCACTTGGATCAGTCTGCGTAGGGACCGAGGGTGTGCGATATTGGTCCTCGTTAAACTGTGCTACCGTAAAGTGCTGGACTTCGCGCGCAGGTCGTCGGGCTACCGAAGCGGGGGTGCCATCCCCTCCGCAGAGGATCAAAATTGTGATGGCATGTCTTCGGATCATCCTCCGGGATGTTTCCCAGACCGTCGCCAATAACCCATTGTGCAGCTCAAGTGCGACGTAAATTAACAGCAACAACAGTTCACCAGAAGGCGAAACGCTCCCGTTCTTACTGTATGCAATTCATACACTTTCGATCTTCATCAAGAGAGGAAAAATTCCCCCACTAAGTTCTCTTTCTCCCTTGACAGCGAACGGGGGTACGTGAATGACATACTGTGAGAAACAGTCCCATTTCCTACCGAATAAGTTTTGAAACATATATTGGAGGTTTTGAATTTAATTTGGGTTTGTTAACTTTTATCTACTTGTAGAACTACACTGATGGTCTATTGGCAACAATTTAGGTTTAGATTTTAGCGATGATTCAAAAATACTGCAATAGCAACACTACCCCAATTTAGATCGTAGAGCAGATGGTATTGATTATCAACTTGACTCTGCATTATGCTCTCAAACTGACCACCAGCCTTGGACTTTCTCAGCTTTACTCCAAATGTCGATGAAAAAAAACGGAACAATTTGATGATCTCCATTTTATCCAATTTGCAGTACGTGTACATGCAAATAGTTTCACCTGCTACTTATGTATAATGAAGTGTCAAAAGACTAGAGTAGAGATATCTGTTAATGTCATTCTAGTATCGCTCTTACCAAACAAAGCACAGAAACTTGACGAGGCCTAGACCCCATAATTTCTTGAGGAAATATTGTGTCAAGCAAATTCGACAGTCAATTATGATTGTAAAGGTGGGAAGGGCTTCTTATTTTGTGTTCGCGCCCGTGAACAGATCTTTCAATTATGACACAAATGCTTTTCATTGGATTTATGATGGGTGATTTAGATGGCCATAATTCGTTAAAATTGCCAAGAATGTTCTTTTTAATCAATTGCGAATAATTTTGGGTGGGTACACAAGGATAAAAGTCACAAATCCTTGAAAGTTTCGTCCACAAAATCCAGCTATATTTGAGTGAATCGAACAATCCATTGCTCGACGATATGTTATGCATGCATTGCTAGCAATGGTGGAAATTTTGAACATCTTTGTGACGTTTTCGCAGATCATTGATCACAGCACGTGTAATATACAATAAATACCAATAAGTATTTCCGATGATCTCAGTCTTGTGTTTCACGTACCTGCGAAACTGCTCGACCATAGGTTGCTATGCAATTCTGAATCTCTGTCCACTAAAAAATTAAATTATTTTGTAGCTAATGTTTTTACAAAATGTTTATTTTTTTCACCAGTACTGATATTACGGATTTAACGATTTCCTTCGATTCTAGCAAAAAAATATAATAATTAATGAATCATTTGATGACTAAACATAGAAAAAAAAATATTAATTCGAAACTAAGATGAAAATAATTTTTTATCAGCACACGAATCGAATAAAAAATAATTGGGTGATTATAAAAGCTCGTCGAATACAAATAGAAATGGAATATTCTCAGAAATCGAGACCCCTCATTAAACTAATCCCCATTTTTTTTAAAAATGAAATAAGAATGTTTGACATCGTTATTTCCAAACGAAGTAAAATACACACACACACACACACATATATATATTTATCTTTTTAACCATTCACATACCTGCCAACTTTCATTCTTTCAGAGAATGGATTTTCAGAGTGGTTGTAAAACAATAAACGAAAAACAATCTGACTCAAAAATATATTTATATTTTGATCTTGTTGAAATTCGCTTGTGCAAGGATTATTATGCTTTTATATATTTATTGTAATTATTTATATGTAGTGGTGGTCAAACTCATTTATAATTATCATTATAATTCAAAAAGTTAATTGGAATAACATGAGTATTGCTACCACTTTAAATATGAAAATAAAATCTTCCGGAAAATCCGGAAGAGTTGGCAGGTATGCATTCAGAATTTTTCAAGGTCAACAGTTTTTTTTTTCATTCATTTATTTTTTTCAATGTTCTTATCTTCAGTCAAAAGAGTAAAAACTACAAAAAATTTTAATTTTCTTTTTATTGCGATTATTATTATTTTTTATTTAAAAAAATGTCAACATAAACATAATCAACACAATAAAATCTAATAGCTCCAAAACTAATCCGAAATTTTTAACAAAGTGAGACGAGTTACCCATTTCCGGACATAAAAGTACATAGATACAAAAAAAAAATCATAATTCTCTTGTTAACAGCTGACTTACAGCTTCACTAACTGAATTACACGGTCTAATAAGGAAATCTTCCAACTTAGATGCAAAATAACCGCACCCGTATCATTTTGATGTCATAATTTTCAATTATATTATGGTAATAAATTAATTTCTTTAAAAATGTACAAAATTTCATATTTGTTTCATTTGTTAGCTTTCGAACTATGACAGAGAGAAGCATGCACGGTGAAAATTTTCTGAAATAGCGGTGACGGCAGGCAGTAACTTTTTTATTGATGTAGAGAAATAATAATAAAAATGCTTCCTTAAGTTAAAAATTAAGATAAATCTCTGCTGTGTGTAATTAAATCGATAATTTAGACCAAACTGCATTTACCTACCTATTCAAAGTTTTAACTTTGAATAGAAATTGAACAAAATTTGACCATTAAATTTTTTTCTGTCATAAAAGAAAGGCGAGGGGTTTTTCGGAGGAGCTAGCTGTCTCATCTCTCAAATTCTGACAAAACTAGCTCGTTTATATAGTAGCTCCATGGCAAGTAACTGATAAATGGGGGTTTTTCAATGCAAGGATGGAATTAGATTTGTTGAAAAATATATAAGAATGGTGAATTGATATTTTTGCATATTAATTTCTTATCGCATTTTTAAAAAAGTTAAACAAAGACGTAATACTCATTTAATTTGTGTTTTCTAAAAATGAAGAGAGAAAATTAAAGTTTGTGAATATGCAGAGCCTGATCTATAAAAGTGGGGGCCTTTGACACAAAACTGTCAAGGGCCCTTGGTTGTTACTTTAAACCAAATTTACATGTTTTTTAATTATGAAGAGTTCACTCATAATAACCAGGGCTCGAAAAAACTCAGAAATTTAACCAGTCCCCGTCCTCCTTTGAAACTAACCCGTAGCTTCTAAATAAATAAAAATATAATTTTCTCTTATTTATTACGCACATTTATATAAATTGCACAATGAATTAGTAGTTACTAGGATTACATTATACAGTAATAAAAGAAATACTAGGTTACTAGTAGTAACCTAGTATTTCTTTTATGAAATAATTTAAATGACAAAGGTCAAGTTATCTGGAATGTCAATTTATCCGAGGGTACTGCGTTTTTTAAATGAATCAAATATATTACGTTTGCCAGTTCTACAATCAAGCCAATGATTTACAGAGGTCTCTGAACAAAAATCTGAAAGGGGTTTTCCATTTAGGTAGATGATCATAATTGCGTTTAACGCTTCTTCTTTAAGACCAGTACGTAATGTATTTTTTTGTAAGTTCATTGCTGAAAAGCCCCTTTTCAACCGCTGCAGTACTCCCAGACAGAGAAAGCATCAATTCCACCATGCGCAAAAATTGAAACTGTATCTGGAACATTAACGGGAAAATGGCCGTCAGCGCGGACGTCGGATTCGAGAAATTCGTTGCCCGCGGGGAATTTTTGACCGCCGAGTACGGGCGGTTTTTCGAGCCCTGTTTATAACATAAGTAAATTACCAAATATAAGTAAGAGCTGCGGCGGCTCAGGGGATAGAGCATTCACTTCCAATGAGGTGAACCGGGTTCGAATCCCAGCGATGGCTGGTTGATACAAATTCCGCACCCGGCTCACACCGACCACCGTGCTGACGTAAAATATCCTCAGTGGCAGACGGATCATGGGTTAGAGTCCTTGCAGTCAGGCTAGCCGTGGGAGGTTTTCGCGTTTTTCCTCTTCATGTAACGCAAAATACGGGTTAGTTCCATCAAAAAGTCCACCACGAAAGCAAATAAATTTCTCACAATTCTTTATCCAGGAATTTCCTTGTCTTCTGGATTGGGTACAAAATTACAAGAATACGGAGTTGAGCATTAGTAGTCTTAAACCGCACAAAATGAGTCGGCTGCTCAACGACGATTATAAAATAAGATATATAAGTAAATTTAAGGTTATACGGCTAAATTTATTCAACTTTCGTTAACTTTTATTTCTAATAGACAATTTGTAAGGAAAAACACAAATATATTTATAGGGATAGATAGGGCCCCCCCCCCAGAAATGTGGGGCCTTAGGCCTCTCAGGACGTATGATAAACCAGGCCCTGTGAACATGTCTAATGGCCAGACAAAATTTGTCGAACAGTGAAAATCTTTGGGAGGTCACGTCGATCTCCTATCTCGGTGCCCCTAATACTAATACCTAATTCATTTACACATAGGAAAACTATCTGCTGATAATCATTGATGTGATTTTAGTAGCAGATGAAATTTAAGAAATTTCTGCTTACACTTATTGTTGCAATTTTAATTTCATTAGCACTGGAAAAACTTCTTAAAAAAATGCTAGTGTTAGCACTAGAAAAACTTCTTAAAAAAATGCTAATGTTAGCACTAAGAAATAAGTATGATTTGTCTAATGAAATATCTTTAAAATCTTTATCTAATGAAATATCTTTAAGTAAAATCTTTGAGCGAGAGCTCACAGCGTCTTCCTATCCCAGCACTATTTCTTGTATAAATCAAGATGTTAGGCATAGTTATTCAGGAGTCATGTTTTTTAATTTTGTGCATTTGTATATTGAGCAAAATATTGAGTTTCATTATTTTTGATTCGATACTTGCATTGATAATTTTAAACTTTTTTTCAAGAGATAATTTTAAACTTTTTTTCAAGGAATTAGTATCACAAAAAATAAATAAATAAATAAAATAAATAATGCAAATACAAACCATCAGAATTCAACTTTATTTACAATTTAGAGAAATGTTTGAAACAAGACAATTTCAATATTTTTTTAAACGAAAGTAAAATCATACATATCAGTTTAAAATTTAGATACCCAAAATTTTTGAAATAAAGATGACTGATATAATATTATTAAATGAAGTATAAAACTAACTTAAATTATAACAAATCTACTAAAAAATATTCCAGCTAGAATAAAACAAAGAATATCATGAGCATCAGCACAAAATAATTAGATAGAACATTATACATCAGTACATACCAGACCAACACTCTTATTTCATCAGCAGTAGAGGACATAATAATGCAAAAATAAACTTTTTAAACAGGTTGGGTTGATACAAGCCACATAATATCTTTGGTACAAGGGCCAAAGAATTCTCACCAGAATTCACATACACACATGCCAGGCCTAATATAGGTCATGATACAATACTTTTCAATCACATAAAATTCTTGTAGTATTTACATATTATTTTAAACAATCTTGTTAAACGGACCATATTTTAAAAATTATGTAACAGTAGGTTAATTATTAGATACTATTACTAAATACCTATAGATAATCAAAATGCTAAGTTTCCTATTTATGGTAGTAGCCAACAACAAAAAAGTAAGATGTTAAGATGACTAAATTTAATTTTAAGTAAATAATGAAAAAATTTAAAATATGAGAATGTAAAATACTGTAGTAGAGAATAACAAATATACACATACACGTTTTCATAATAATCAATCAAAATTTAAGGAAAAAAAAAAAAAAAAGAAACGGTAATTTATGTTTGAATCAATAGTCAAAGTAATGTTTGAAAATTAATAAAACATACTATTTTCTATTTTAAATAAATTAAAAACTGGTGTCAACCTAACAATTTCATAAATGCTCATTATTAATGAAAATACTGACTAATAAAAAAAAAAAAGAATAGTAATTCTCGTTGCATTTTATTTTCCATTTGAGTTAAAGATATATCACATTTTTCAGTGAATATAAGTAGACTTTCTGAACAAAATTGTAATTTAAGTAGGAGGTTTGACTTTTACACAAGTAAAACATTTGAGCTCGAAGATGTCTTTTTGAACAAGTTAAATATAAGCTAAGCTTTAAAGTATTTATCTAATAAGTTAAATTCAAATGCAATAAGGATAACAAAATTATAACACAATCAAAAATTTTAAGAAAGGAAAATTTATTTTTTAGAACATTCTGTACATCTTTTGAGTTGGTACTGTTTATTTCGGAAATAGAGAATGTTTTTTATCCGTCAATTAGCAGTATCATTATATTTTATAAGCATTATATTTCATAATTTAAGGTGATAGTATAGATATTTGAGTCAATTGTTTAAAAGATTAAAAAATTAATTTTTGCATAACATCAGTTTTAAAATCTGTTCTTCAACAAGTTTAAATTTGGTAACTCTACAGCATAGTGAATGAAAATCTCTTATAATACTCCAAAAAAATACGATCATTACAAAATTCTACTTCAAAACAATTTATAAAAATTTCAATGAAGTTAGGCAAAATAGACCAAACAAATAATTTGGCACACTTTAAAGAATAGTCAATCAATTTTTCTGATAATGAATTCTTAAATTATTTTATAACATTATTCCTCTATGCAGGACATTGTATTGAATTGTAAGAATAGCTGACATAGTAAAGATTATGAACATGGATTTCAAAACAGAAATATGAATGCTTTAAAAATTTTACTTCGTATGAATACATTATCAAAGTGTTTGATTTTTTATTACTAGTAGCTAAAAAAGAATTTTTTGAAAAACTGATATGGAATAATAATACTTTGCACATTTGCACAGAGCAATTTTTGCTACAGAGCAATTTTTGTACTTGAAATGCAAACATGTTGACGATTCTGCAAGTAGAAAATTGCATTCAAATCTGTTTCCCCAGTTCTTGAGTACAGTTATCATAGTACTAGAATATTAATTATAAAGGATAGTCTGACACAGGTGTTTTAAAATCATGATAATCTTTATTTTTCAAGTTTTATATATTTTAATTAGATTTATATGAATTAAGTAGCATTAGTAATGTCTTCTTCATTTTTCAGCATAGAATAGAGCATATAGTTTTGTTACGTCTTTTTCACAAAATATGTATTCTCATTTATTTGTGAAACCACAATTTTTTATTACTTCCTATAAATAATTTAATTACAATAAACAAAAGATTGAATATTTTGTAAAACTTTAGACAATAAAGCAAGTTTACTTATAATATTTTTTTTTTCTTCATAAAAATTTAAGAAAAACATTTTAAAGAAAAAAAAGGAGAAACTTTTAAGTCCAATGTTAAATATAAAACCACCAAGAAAATATATAAAAAAATTCTTAGAATCAATTAGGAATCGAAATCTAACAGATTGCAGTAAGGATTGAAACATAAAATGTAATAAAATAAATTCAGTACATGCTCAAAAAATTATTATTCAGATCCATGATTTAAGTGAAATGTCATGTTTTAACATACTACAAATAAGTACTAAATATACAATAACATATCTGCCAACATGTACAGCTATGGTTGTTGATGAAAATATTTTTGAGATACCAACACTTTTTTTTTTGCATAAATCTTGGCTTTTAAAATTAATACCTAAATCAAACATATTTAAGAAATATCTATTATTCTTTTAAATATTCTATTATTCTTTTAAATATTGGCAAAATATCTTAATTTTTATATCTTAAAACGTCCTACTATAATTATAACATTCGTTCTGACAAATCTTTTTCAAAAATCATACAAGTTGGCACCTATACAATAAAAAGAAAATAGCAAATGAAAAGTTTTTTAAGTACCTGAAAAACTGACAGAAGTTTCACAAATAGGTTATAAATTATTAGCATTGCGGTTAAGACCAACATACTACAAAAATGAATTCTATATTTTTTTCAAATCATTTAGAAGTGAAAAAAAAATCTCACAACAAAATAAAAATAAGAAAATAATATCAGATCAAAAAACAAAATAATCTTCAAAATAAAACAAAATAATCTTCAAAATAAAACATTTCCAGTTTCTCAAATTACAAAAAAATAAAAATTACAGCTAATAACAATGATAAATTGCAGCATAAATTTTAAGTAATCAATGAAAAGTATATCTAATAATTAACTCTATTAATAAAGATTATAATTAGAACTACTAATTAGGGATTGACCTTTAAAAGTAAATTTTAGATATCTAGTTCAATAATACTTAAAATAAATGCAATTTTTTTCTTAAAATTGCTATTGTTAATTTAAAATCATACCAAAAAGCATTCTGTCATTTAATTAATCCTACCTTAGTTATAAAAATTGAATCAACTCAAAAAGTAACATTAGTTATTTTTTTAAATTTTGCATTTATTGTGCATATAGTTAAAATGATTTAAGATTTATCCTTAACATAAACAATTTTTAACACTGTTTAGATTAATAAGCTTGGATAAACCTTGTTCTTATACAAATCAAACCCTAATTAATTATACTATAATATTTTGAGCATTTTATTATTAGATTCATACATATGTCATAAACATAAAAAAAATTAATACTGCACCTGAAAGAAAGGCTATTATAGTGCCCAAATTTGAAATTTGTGTAGATTCCATATAGTAGGTGCAAAGTTAAACATTTTTTTTTCCTTTTTTGTTTTGACTTAGGCCAAATTATGTTTTGTTAGGTAGATTTTTTTACAGTTATCAGCTTACTAAAATGAAATACTGAAAAATATACACTAAAAAATAATGATTCAAAACTGCAGTAAATATATCACAATTCACATTAAATGCACAGTTATTAATCTTTACACATCACAGACTGTTAGTTCCATTAAGACACTTATACAATAATCAATAAGTATTTTACCAAGCAGGCATTAACTGGGATGTGAATTACTCTGTAAGCAGCATATAATAAAAACTCAAAGAAAAAAAAATTATTTTACAAGAAATTAAACAAAATAATAAAGGTTACTTTTATAGAAATATATTTTTCATTTAAATTCAGGATATGCTTGAAAATCTTACAGTATAACTATGAAAAATAATCCAATATAATAAATTATGTGGATATAAGTTAGTAATTACATGATTAATCATATATAATTTTTAAAAAATTATGCACATAGAATCTGAATTAGGTATACATAGATTTTTCTCCCAATATATATTTATAGTAATCAGGATAATGGTAATGGCCTCACTTTTACTAGAAATGAACAAAATGAATAAATTCACTTGCCCTTTTATTTTTTGCATAAAAAAAATTGGGTGAAAAAACTATAATTCCCATATATTATCACTAAATAATATATAATTATCATTAAACCCTAGAATATTATTCGTGAAAATACTATTGAAAAAATTTTTAATTCCTGAAAACAATATTTAGTTATTAATTCACATTAATAAAATAAAAAACAAATTTATGAGCAAATTTATTGGAATGTATAATAATGAATTCTGATTCAGAATAAAATTTTTTAGCTGATATAATTTATAACTTATCAATAGTAATTAAATGAAACATTTATTAAATTTTATATTATATCTCCCCCAAAAAATTAATAGCATTCTATTTACAGCTTTTTGATGAACTCCTGCAAAAATGTAATGAACTCGTGTAAAAATGTAATGAAAGATAAAACTCAAAACAAGAATTACATGAAAAGATTAATATTCAAGATATATATTTCTCAGAATGCAATTTTTGTAAACAATGAGTATAGAATCCTTATTTTTATGAGTAAGTCACTTTACATAGGATTTATAGAAGATTTTATCCGTGTAATTGTAGAGATAAGAGCTATTTTATGTTCAAGAAATTCCATTTTTAACCTGCTTGGTTCAATATTATAGATAATTATGTATAACAATTCAATCTTGATATTATTTAAAAATATCTTTCAGTTTTCTAAAAAAAATTATTCTTGTACATTTACATTGTACATTCAAATGGATGAAAAAAAATGTAATCGTGCTTGTTTTTAAGTATCAGTAAGGTGAAGTGAATAAAACATTGAACTTTACAATTAGGAAAATGCAACCCTGTAAAAATTGCACAGCCATTTGAATAACGAAGAAGACTAGATGATTTAATTCACTATGATTATCACAAAATAATAGAGCTCACATCAATAACAATAAATTCAGATTTAATTCACAAAGGGAATACCTATAAAAAGGCATTCACAGAGATTGTTATTGCAAAGTTAAGTAGCAAACATCGCATTATATTTAGGAAATGCAGCTTTTATTTAACTGCTTAAGCATGAATTTAAGTGACATTTAAAAAATAGACCAGCTCATGCAGTTTTGACTAACTATAGTTCTGTAGAAACATTATAAATTTACGAGGAAATTAAAATTGCTCAAAATTATTACATTTCAAACAGAATTCAAGTTATAATGATTTAAAAAGTCTTAGAACTTTGTACTAAGTATTATTCAAAATTGAACCTAATTCTATTACTATATGAAAAAGCATAGGCAACTTAAATTTTATTGCTATTTCTATTCAAATAAATACAACTTTGTTAATAAATATTCTTCAAATAAGGTTTACAAAAATATAATAGTTCTAAAACTTCCTTTCTTGAAACATAGAATGTTAATTTTTTGAACTAAATCTTCCAGGTTTGAAAATTTAAGCATAAATAAATACAGATAGTTAAAAATATGAATAATTATTCTTATAAGGCAATTTTTACTCAAATACAAATAAGTTGTCACTAAAAAAATATAAAAAAAGGAAATAATAAAATTTTTATCTAAAATAAAATTGTTTTAAGATAATTAAAATTACTAAAAATAGACACTGATTCATAATAATGTTTTTATTATGGCATGATTACAGTTATGTTATAAAGAACATGATTATACTTATGACGAAGCGTTAATAAACAGCTAGTTTAGATTGAAGATGTTACTTATGACGAAATGTTAATAAAACTGCTTACCTTAGATACATGAAATGCTTTTGAAAATGGGTAAACTATTATTTGCAAGCTTTTAGATATTATGTGCGATAACAAACAATGATTAAAATACAGAACAAACACCTACATTATTAAAACACTGGATAAATATGAGTGCATTTTAAAATATATGAAATTAATAAGAAAAAGCAAGATCTTCGATGCCTTATGTTTCAACAACACTTTTGAAAAATAATACAACTTTCATCAAAAAATACTTACTCTAATGTCACTGTGTTTATTCAAGTTCAAGTGAACTATAAGTACACAAATAAACAAATACAAAACAATAACAAAATATATGAATACGAATGGCAACAAATATAATCAATGAATGTAAATAAAACTTAGTGGTTATATATTTATTTCATATAATAGAGAATAAATCAAAGTCTTTAGGTTAAAATACATAACCATTATATTTTAGACTAAAGAAAGAGGATTTTCATAAACCGAAATGGATTTACTGCCATTACCATTACATTTCTCAATGCATATTTCTTTATTATTGGTAGATAATAATGGTGTAGTGTTATCACCGGTTTCCTTTGATTTGTAAACTTTTTTGTCATTTAGACGATTTTCAAGTTTACCTTCTAAAACATTATCAACATTTCCTGGATTATCTTGGAATTTTACTTTACGAGAATCAGATCTGATAGAGCTTTTGCTGCTGATTGGCGATGCTTTTCTACAAAGATTTTTTGAAACCGGAATAACCATTGCTCCAGAAAGCATAATCAGTAATCCTGTGACGTAGAAAGTGATGTCATAATTTCCAGTTACATCAAACAGCCATCCTAAGAAAAGAAGTATACATGAATAATAACATAACATAAGTAAACAAAGTCACTTACATATACTGATTTCTATTTTAAGTATACAATAACGTTAAATTTTTATTTTGTCAATAAAATTACATTTAAAACTCAAAAAGTTCCATCTACAATTTCAAAATTTTTTTAATTTGAATTAATTATTCATTTCAATTAAAAGTTATTTTTTGTATGAAATTATCTTTAGATTAATGAGACTAAAGTGGGTTCAAGAATATTAAGTATATTAATAATATATACCAATTAATATTAATAAGAATATTCCAATTGTAAAATATCTTCAAGAATATTTTACAATTGGACACTCCAAAATTTAAATTTTTATTGCAGGAAAAAAAATGTTTGAGAATATAAATTTGTTTAAGAAAAAAATGTTGTGCAATCGAAAATCATACAACATGAAATATTTTTTAGAAAATTAGGTTTAAAAAAACTTATGGGATTGATAATTAGTTTATAAATGGAAGACGTTTTTTTTTTAACTCTTTGGTGCAGAATTTTTATTAAACATATTTTTTCATACTTTTTTTTTATTATTTTGTAATTATTTAGATAAAAATAAGTGAAAAATATTATATTTAGCAGTTTATTAATTTATGGACATGAAATACTGCATGAAACACTGGTGTCTTTTTCAGCGTTAAAGGTAAAATCTTCTAAACACGGCTCACTTCCAAACAATAATTTGCTCTAATTAATTAATTGTTGATAAATTTTTGAATATGAATAAATTATATATATATATATTAAAATAACTTTTCTTGGATTCTATATTTTAGAAAAATACTATTTTGATAATCTAACAGATAAGTAACAATTAGACTGTTTTTCAGAATAAAAAAATATCAAGATATATTTTCGTTTGTAATTACAGCATCAGAAAAAAAAATATATGCATAAAAGGGACACCAGTGTCCCATCTGCGTCAAAGGGTTAGCCAGGCATTTTGTCTAGATGATTTTTTTAAAGGATTTTATTTCCTTACTATTCCAAGTTATAAGAAAAAAAGGAGATATTTAACTAATAGTGCAAATATTGTAATACCAGCCACAGGAGGTCCAATTAAGCTAGCTTTGCCTTGAACAAGTAATAACAGTCCATATGCTCCAGTGAAGTTATCGAGTGAAATCAGATTTACAATGATTACAGGTACAAGAGTATAATTTGCACTGATTGTAAAACCATAAATTCCAACTAGAGAAGCTATCACATAATAATTTGCTACAATGGGTAACAAGGCTAATGATAGACCACTGAGCAATATGAAACCACTATATAGGAGTGTTGAGTCAATCCAAGGCTTGTCTCCAATATATCCAACCGTTACCTGGAGAAATTTACAAATTCTTAATACAATAGAGTACCCATGATTAAAAATCAAAAATATCAAATATAAATTTTTTAAATTATTGGCTGTAACCTTAATGTAAAGAACAATAATTAGAAAAATACATAAAAATTTTCAAGGGATTTGAGAGGTGAGAACAAGAAATGTAACCTTTCTAAACTTAAGAAAATAACACAAAATTTCACACAATTTTACTGATTGACAATATTACGCACTGACTACTTGCTAAAATCGTGAAATGACAAACTTTTTTTTAAGCAAAGCAAAAATAAAATAATAATTTTTTTATCAAATTTGGAAAAAAAAAATTAAAAACTACCTTTTTAAAGAGTACTAAAAAGGAGAAAATAATTCTGTTTTTGTCCTACCAAAAATGAAAAGTACATCATTTTATTTTCAGCCGGTTACAAAAGTGATGCGCTCTTCGCTTTTAATTTTTTTTTATTAGATTACATTATATCCTACTTTTTTGTAATTTGTTTGTTGGTCTGTTTATGGAAAACAGTCAAAATTTCGATGTGTGTTAAGAACAGCGAAAAATTAGCTAGCATAATTTAGGAAATAGTATTAGAATTAGGCACTGGGATCAACTTGAACGTTGGAATTCCAGATTAGAAAAGATTTTATTTGTCGAAGGTCAACAAATTTGTTTACTATTGGCCGTAATTTCTATTGACGGTAATTTCTATTTGGCGATATTCTACTTGAAGCGACCAGGAAACAGTTGGAATTAGTATTGTAGTTAAGCACAGAGGCATAGTCAAAATTTGAATCTTTTTGCTGGTTGAAAATTTGATTGACTATTTTTTCTATTTCGAAATTAAGCGATAAATTCTTTTTGTAGGGGCCAGGAAATTATTTAATCGTTTATTATCCCTAAACATAGAGCTCAAGTTGAAAATTAATCTCTAACAAGTCAAAATTTTTGTGGGTGATAATTTCGATTCGGGGAAAAATTCTGACTGTAGCAGTCAGGTAACAATTGAAACTTTGTTGTCAACAAACACAGAGAGCAGCTAAAATTTGAGATCTTTTGCCAAACCTGCAATTTCGATTGGCGATAAAACCTATTCTAGTGATCATGTATAGTCAGTCAGCACAGTTAAGATTTTAGTGCTCTAGCCATAAGACAATCTTAAAGCTGTCAGAATGTTAAAGGAAGATAAACTTCTCTTGGTTATACTATCACGATAAATTCTGAGGATAGCAGTCAGGAAAGGATGGGTTCCTGACCAGCACATAGCTTCAGTTAAAACTTGTCACATTCGTCAAACATCGTGCTTTTGAAATATACAGTAAAACAAGAAATAAAATATGAAGAAATATAAGTTAAGAACCCGTTTTAGGGTGCTGTTTGTAAGCTTTAGAATTTAACAAAGTCATTTCAAACTATTCCAACTATCAACATCAACAATAAGCAAAGTGTTTAAGATAAAATTGAACTATTAAAAAAAACTTTATTCAATAAATTTTCAAAAATTTCACTGAATGTCTTATAATATGTATTTACTTGAACCTAAATCAAAAATGGAAAATTCTGAGAGATACAAGAATTGGTCAAAAATCGTGTTATAGACACTTTTAGAGCCTTTTTCAAGATATTGGTTCAAATTCTTTCTATTTCAGTCATCGTTAACTAATACACTTTGGAATATTGTAACTTGTGTTAATTCCTGACCTAATCCACTGTTCAGTGAGACAGGTTTAAGAAAGGAAAATTCAGTTTAGCGTGGTAAACAAGTTGCTTAGAATCCCAAGGAATACATGCAATAATAATAAAAACGTTCCTAATTTCATATGGAAGGTGTTTTCTACACTAGGGTGAGCAGTAAGTTTTCATACTTCCGGGTTACTGCTTCCGGCGTATTTTGACGTCATTTGGCTCACAACGTAATAATTGTGTTTTAAGATTCTCAAGTGGATTATTTCTTGCATATATGAATTTGTTACCTGATTTATTATTTGTGATGTGACTATAAAAGAATCCTTTTAAAAGAATCGTCATTTAAAGACCTGTCATTTCAAAAGGTAATAATCGTCATTTGATAAAAATAATCGTTATAAGACACTTTTTACATTCTCAACAATATATAAATTTCGAAATTTAAACCTAAATGATAATTTGTAAAATGAACTTAATCTCGCTGCTCAAACAATATGCTAACACTAAAGTATGATGGTGCGCGGCTTGCAACAAGAAAAAACAGTAATAAACAAGTAAAAAAGAGGGCAAATTGGGACTGCCAAAAAAGCGAGTTCTTCCTAAATCTAGCAGCCACATCAGCCTTTTTTAACAATACATCTATAAATAACTAAAACAAATTTTCACTTGAAACTCACTAGAATTATCATTAATATCTTATAAAATACATCAAATTTGAGCTCAGAAATTATATAATTTATTTTTTTAATTAAAAAAAAATTATCTGTATGAAAATATCGCCTGACAGAAAAAAACTGTAGTAAGTAGCTTTCTAAACGGAAGTAGAACAGGCCAAGAGCTCGAAATTGTTGTTTACATTTATGATGAAAACACCATCCATAACTTTCTAAACACATTGTCGCACACATTTGATTTGCTCAGAAACTCATTTTTTTCCAACTGTTTACGACTGCGTGTTATCGAGCGTCAGTCGTACAAATGGAAGTGAAAATTACTTCTCATATTATGTCACAGAGTTTCCAGGAAAACTCTTGACGGCTGTAACCATTATTTGCTCATTATGTCATTCTTTCTCCCCCCCCCTCAAAAAATTTATATGTTATCTGGAATGTTACCTTTTTCTTCGATATATTACTGAAAAATTAACGCATTTGTAAAATCCGTACTTATGCTTCTTTTTTTTTCTTTTCTAAATTTAAATATTCAGGACCAAAGTATCTACGGTCACGAAAACTGAAGTGACCTTCATTCAAAATTCGATGATTTTCAAGACTATTTTGAGATAACTAATTTTTAAAATACAATTTCTCCAACAAATCTAATATTGAGGAATTATTAAAAAATGGTAAAAGTCTTTAAAGAAGTTGTAATTAACAGATTCATTAAAAGAGAATTTTGTTAGAGATACTCTGAGGGTGGCTATAGCCGTCATCTGGTTACATATCGCCAAAAATCGGACGGCAATGGCTGTCATTCGCGGTGACATATCGTTCGCGGAGAAAATGCAAAAATAGCTTCGAAATTTTCTTTTTTCATCACTAAAACTTATATTTCTCACCAAAACGTGAAGAACGTAATATTATTCCTTGATAAGAGTGCAAAATAACGAAAAAACTGAAAAGAAAAAATCTATTTATAGAGCTATATAATTCTCTCATTACTCTTAAAATGGTAAAATTAATTTTAAAGCTCTGATACTTACCACACCTAAGCAGTTCAGAACACCTAGAATTGATATTAGATACGAAGCATCATTCATATCAGTGCCACTATTCACAGCATGATCTGGTATGTAGACATACGGAACATCAACGCAAGCATACAGAAAGAAGTTAGACAGGCAAAATATTGTGTATCCAATATTTTTGAAATTCGTAAAATCGAACATTTCACAAATAAGAATCTTCAAATCATCAAGAAACATACATCCCTAAAAAAATGTGAATATTAAATGAAAATTGATAAGTTTTAGAAAGCAAAATATGAATGACACTAAACTGTAAACTTTCAAGCATTGCCTTAACAATTAAATATCATGCTCAAGTAATGTAAGAACAACAGAATATATGCATAATACTCACTTTTTCCTCATTAATAGTGACCATGCTGTTTCGATAAATATCTGGACAACTTGATGCTTTTAAGCGATAACGGTGGATATTTAACATGGCTCCTCTGTAAGTAATACTACCTCTTTGAAGCCTTATTTTGTGAAGATAAGCGGCATCAAGCCTTGGAGGAACTGACGATTCCCTGGTTGATGAATTTGAAAAAGTTTTTGCGAGATCTTTGCGAGTTTTCTTCTTCAAAGCCTTTTCTCCTTTTTCTTGGGCTAACGACGATTCAGTCGAATCTATAGAATATTTTTTCACGTAAGAATCGAGGATGTATGGGTGCTGTTCCAGCAGAGAGTTGAGATGCGAGCCTTCTTTACTGGACAGCTCAGAGATCACCTCAGGGAAGTTATTACTAAGATACGTGGGCAGTTGAACCATGGAACTACACAATCGCTCGGTGTTGTCCAAGTTGCAGCTTTCAGATGAGTCATCAGCCTTGTCATTCTCCTCATCAGCAGGTGATTCTAAATCTCGCATAAGAGCTCCAAATACGATCATATTGAGAAAGAAACCTGATAATATCAAAAGTGTGCCTTGCCAAGCGTATTGCTCTATAAGGTATCGAGTTAATGGAGGGAATACAAAATTACCAATGCCTGTTCCGCAAGCAGCGAGGCCCGTTGCAAGAGACCTCTTCTTCTCGAAGTAATAAGCAACTACTACAATAGAAGTAACATAACAGAGAGCGAGGCCAATACCAGCTAAAGTGAAAGTCAAAATTAGGATTTCCAGGGAATCAGCACAAACACTGATGACAAATGAAATGGTGGAGAGCAGCGCTCCCAAAATGCACATTCTTTGGCAACCATAACGATCGATGAGATAACTTGCAACGGGACCAGCTAACAATGGCATACTAAGGAAAATCGAGCCTACCATTGATGTTTTGGCTTTGCTTTCACCGAAATAATTAATAAAATCAACAAATAATATCCCAAATGAGAGAGACACTCCATCGGCAATAAAATTAATCATAAATGAAGCAAACACAACAACCCAACCCCAACCGCCATCAGGAGGGGGTGGTAGAGAGGATTCGGGAGCTCCACTGCTTGAAGAAGAGGATGAGGATAAGCTACGGTTGCTAGCCTGGTAAGTTGGTTTATTTTTATTGCTACATTTTATATTATTAGAATTCTCTTTTTTATATAGTGTTTTGTTAAAATTTGAGTCATTAGTGTCCACATTTTCTCCACTTTTAATAAGAGTTGAATCCATATTTGATGTGTTAAATTTAGATTATTAATATTACAAATGCTATTAATAGAGAGCTTAAATTCATTCAGCTTGGTTGGTGTTGCCATCGGCCACAAGAAGTAGGGGTTTTGTTTCAGGTTGAAGTTCCGCATCAAGACCTTTTGTCCATTAGAAGATAACTTCCAAAAATGAGCACTGGAATAAAAAAAATTCTATAGAGGGGAGTAACAGTGGAGGAGGGACAAATGTATTATTATAATTTATAGAGGGTGTTCCAACATTCGATTGACAAATACTAAAGGGTAATAAAATTTATATAGAGCATGTAGGTATTTTATTTACGTCGCATTAGAGCTGCACAATAGGCTATTGGTGACGGTCTGGGAAACATCCCCGAGGAAGATATGTCATCACAATTTTGATCCTCTGCAGAGGGGATGGCTCCCCTGCTTTGGTAGCCCGACGACTTACGTTCAAAGTCAAGCACTTTACGGTAGAACAGTTTAATGCGGACCGATACCTCCTCATTAAACTGTCAAAGTGGTCACCCACCCGCTTACTGACCGCAGCCAGTGATGCTTGACTTCGGTGTTCTATCAGTCCACAGCGGGACGAATCTAGACATATAAAACTTACCTTTTAACAAGGAGTCGCAAACCACGTTGAATCGAGGAAAACCCATAAATAATAAATAAAAACACGTTGAGAAACAACTACAACAGATACTACAAACTTGCTTGATTTAGTTAATTTCATTAAATTAATTACCACAATCACTGTTCCGAGTTGGATTGCCCAGTGACATCATTATTTAGTCTAAAACGATAATCTTTGCTATAAGTTACTTGCTGTGTTAGTTTTTCGCGATTTTCATCCTCTTGTGGAGATTAGCGTTCTAGGCAAGGCTGAAAGCCTTTATATAGCAAGACGGAAAAGATGAAAAACTGATACGAAAGACATTTTATTATAGCAATTTTTCCGGGTAAAATAAAATATCTGTAACTACCAAGATTTCTTTAAGATTTTAATATATATATAAATCTGCTCTTTTCCAAGATTAAATAGATATTGTTGAATAGTTTTAAAAAAAGAATAAGTATACTTCTCCCGAAAACTAGCAATAACTGAAATGGTTTTACTACCAGCCTTTTCTCTTTTCCGTCTCGCTTTCACCCCTGGTTCTAGGATGAGTTATCATCCTCTTGAAATCGTATCACCCTTCTCAATTTGTCGGTCAAATTTTGGAACATCCTGTATATTAGTTTCACATTCAACTAATAAATATTAGCAAACCAAAGGAACACAATTAATAACTGTACTAAGTAAAAGCGTCATATTAGAATTATTAACAATAAACTAAAACTTTTAATTGAAATTACAACTAAAAAATCACCAAAAGAATAATTGAAAAAATAAGCGTTTTGAAATTATGATCAATATAGGCTATTTTAAAGAATAGAAAATTTGTGAAAACCGCAATTCGTAGTTATCGAAATTTAATTTAACGTGTAAAAACTGTTTGCAAATTTGCTCACAAAAAAAAAAGAAAAAAAAAAGAGCAAATTCATAAGGGGGAAAAAAAGGGTAATCACTCAGCGCTTAGTAACAGATTTAAATACTGGAATTTCCTTTAAAAAAAACTAGATGTTAACTGACAAGAAAAAAACAAACATTTATTTTCTTACAAAATAAATTAGCACTCAAAAGATAAAAAAAAAAAGATGCCTCTACTCTTCAATCTAGAAAGGAAAAGTAAGAAAATCTTATTTTGCAGAGCAAGGGAATAAAATGAATTCAATTGATTGTACAGCTAGAGAAAAAGCAATACATCATTTAATTAATTTATCAGTCTCATTATGATGAAAATAATCTATCCAAAAGAAAGAAGAAGAAGGAAANATATCAAAAAAAAAAAAAAAAAAAACATTAGAACATAAATATATAAAGGGGGGAAACTGTCAAGTAAGCATTAATTAAAGAAACTAAATGAAGTCTGGACAATATTAATGCAGTTTGAAATTACAAAATAAGCAAGTGCGTCATCTTGACTTAATCCAGGAAGCCTGCACCTCCCCCCATCATTTTGATTGATAAAATGAAAATAAATAAAAATACAGAAACGAACTGGAAGTTATCAATATCATAAACAGGAAATAACAAAATATTTAAGTATTATAAATTAAAAAAACTAACGCAAAATACGATTAAAAGAAATTGATTTTAAATGGAGAATTTTCTTTTTCAAATAGTTGAATATTTAGTTTAGTTAAACCATTTTTATATTTCCTCTTTAAATTAGAGTATGATTAGTATAACAATAGTCATTGGTACAAAGATAGTAGTAGTAGTAATAATAATAATATTAAATGAATTGTAAATCTGAGGCAGATTTAAGAAAAAAAAAAATCTTTTAGCGAACTCTATTCCAATGGTAAAAGAAATTCAGTTTTAGAATAAAATGGCTAATTTTCAAATCAATAACGGTTGCGAACAAAAAAATATTTTTTTCTACAATAAGTTAGTGAGGAGAAAGCTTAAAAAATAATAAGTTCAAAGAGAAACCTTATAATTTTACGAAGAGCGTGTTCGACACTTTCGACAATTGCAACATCGTAATAAGATATTTTAGATACGAAGATATTTATTTTTATTAAGTTTCATCCATGAACTAATCTATTTTTCTGTGGTTTCATACAAAGAGACATTAGCTGTTTTAAACAAAATTCCTCCCCCTCGATGTCAGCAATTTTAAAATGAACACACAGTACTCGAAATAAATAAATAAAAAACGGAATAACTTATAAATTATGACAATTTCGTGTATTAAAGGATTGAAAGTTAGACCTTAAAATGCTAATTGATAAGTGCAATCAAAAATCTAAGTAACGAAAGAAAAAGTTTTTTTTATGAATACTCATAATAACAGGGCTCGAAAAAACTCAGAAATTTTACTCGTCCCCGAGGACGGCTTGTCTAACAATGTACCCGTCCTCCTTTGAAACTAACCCGTAGCTTCTACATAAATAAAAATATAATTTTCTCTTATTTATTACAAACATTTATATAAATTGCACATTGAATTAGTAGTTACTAGGATTACAAATACTAGGACTACATTATACAGTAATAAAAGAAATACTACGTTACATAATAGTAACCTAGTATTTCTTTTATGAAATAATTTAAATGACAAAGGTCAAGTTATCTGGAATGTCAATTTATCCAAGGGTACTGCGTTTTTTAAATTAATCAAATATGACGCTTGCCAGTTCCACAATAAAGCCAATGATTTACAGAGGTTTCTGCACAGAAATCTGAAATGGGTTTTCCATTTAAGTAGATGTTCATAATTGCGTTTATAACTCTACTTGTTTAAGGTACGTAATGTGTTTTTTTGTAAGTTCATTGCTGAAAAGCCCCTTTCAACCGCTGTAGCTCTGCCAGACAGAGAAAACATCAATTTCCCCATGCGCAGTATCCTAAATGCCGGGCTTTTTACAGAACCTCGGCATTATCTAAAAAAAAAAAAGCTCACTAACAGTCGTTAATATACTATTGGGAAAAAAAAACTACTAGTTTTTTTCCACAATATTTATTGTAAAGAATGATTTATTTATATAATATTATGAATTGGTTCTTGGTGTAGTATAATTTGGGTAAAAATTTAAGTAAAAAAAAAAAATGTCATAAATGTTGATAATAGTAATTCAGAGGAACGCAATATTTTTTATTTTTGAAACTAGTTATTTTATTTTGAATTGCAAAGCTCGATAAATTAATTCATGTTAAAAATGCATATTCCTTTAATAATATAGTTTACTGTTATCGAAAAAAAGAAAAAAAAAATTCTTATAAAAGTTAGCTATTTTTTTCACACTGGCATTTTATATAAGCAATCGAAATATTAAATAAATTATATATTGTTGATTAGATACAAATATAATCATTCTACGGAACCACAGCCGTGAAACACCTTTAGAAAACCGCTGATCTAGAAAACAAGGTCACAAGAGTCTGAACCGCTTCAGGTCAATTTGGTAATCAGTCTATTTTGTTAAATTGGCTTAACTAAAGGTAATTCCATAATTATTATCATCATATTTGGCTAGACAGCTTAGAGCGGGCCAGTGCCTTTTGAATTCTGCTCCACAGCATTGTATTGTTGACACTTAAGCGTAAGTGTCTTCCTGGATAGCAAGGGAATCAGTTTCCACAAAATAGATTATTCCGCGCAGATATAAATTTTTATATTAATTATTTCATTCATTACTATTTTATTATTAGATTTAATTATGATCAAAATTCTTGACTGGTTGGTAGGGCAATGGGCCCATGTTCAAGAGTTCGATCCCAGCTGGCCGAAGAGGTGACTGATGCACGTTAAATCTGTCGAGTCGCAAAATCCGTGTTCCCATAACAAATCAGTACCTCTGGGGGTTACTGATCCAGAAGTTTCCTTGTTTTCTGGATTGGTTCAAAATTACAAGGCTACGAAGTTGAACATTAGTAGTTGTAAACCCAAAAATTGGGTCGGCTGTTCAACGACGGACATAAAATAAAATAGTAGTCTAGAGAGTAGACACACAAATTTTGGCATCAATTTATGAAATTTCAAAAGACTAACTCTAAAATTAGGAGGAAGTCGTTTGAATAGTTCTTGAGAAATAAATACGATTTTTTAAACCTATTCTTTCACATGAACATTTTTAGATCCTTCAATTTGAATGCGTTGCTCTATGCAATTTTTTTTAAAAATTTACTTTCTGTATTATTTAACAAAGAGTAGCAAAGTCTGGAGTTGTGAAAAAGAACCAAGCATTCAGAACAATACTGCCGTGGACAGAAATGTTATTATGGAGCCGCGGAGTGGACAACCTGAAAGAGGAAGACGAATAGTACAGATTAACTTAAGTTATAAATGGAATTTTCAGGTTTCGAAAATGGTACGTAGAGGGGATAAAAAAGTGATGAATCGCTGATCAAAAGCGATGTTTCTTTCTATTTTAAGCCAAGTTTGTTTGTTTCTGTAGAGCAAATCATTCATAAATCGCTGAGGAAGGGTAAAATTAATGCCGTGGCACAAAATTCGGACTTTCCGTCACTAACTTTACGTTTAACTTTTAACTGAAATGTCGTTCAATTTTAACGAGGCGAATTCCGCAATTTTAAAATTACCATAGGAAATGTGTCAATTT